GCTGCCGACCTGAGCTGCCGCCTCCCCCACCCCCTTCCCCGGCGTCACACGGATGACCTTTCTATTCGCATCGCGACACGCTGACACCACATCTGAGTGACACGCGAAAGGAACTTCACAATCGAGAAAGAACAGCTGAGTGCGCCGCGCGGAGAGCATGCGTGCGCGGTGGCGGGCGGAGCGGAGGTGCCGAGGAGACAGCGAGAGAGCGAGAGCGCGGAGGCGACGCAGCGGTCGGCGTGATGAATCTGCTGAGATGTGATCAACATCATAATTGGAAGACGAGTCTGAACTCTGATGCACCTACTACTACACGGCACTGACGCGACCGCGCGTGCTGCGCCGCCCTCAACTCTCCCCCTGTACGTGTGCATGTGTATGTTTGTGCGGCTGGAACGTGGCAGGCTGCGGAGGGCAATACTCATCCCCCACGCGGTTCAACACAATGTCCTAGAGCCGCTGAAGACCACGCTGCTGTGCGCACCAACGATGATGACAATCCTCACCTCATATGTAACTCGGGAAAACTGAACCACCTCGCGTGGCGGATGAGCAACCGTACGGAATAATCGTTAGATAGTAAGTCTGAGCTGGTGCGTGTCTGCGTGTGCGCGTTCACGTGCGTCCGTATGCGTGCCATCCCTTGACCTAGCGAGCACGCCAGTAGCATCTCCGCAAGCTGCTCGTCTACATCAGGGGAAAGAGATGCCGTGACGCCGAGAGAGAAGAGAGCTGTAAGCGGTCAAAGCGCTCATTTTCAAGCCGCACGCGGGCTGCTACCGGTGCCCCTGCGGTCGGGTGATGCGCGAGAGTGCCGCGGCAACTGTCGTTGTCGTTCTTGACGCGGCTTGTGGGTAGCTGCTGCTCCGTGAGAATGGCCAAGCAGTGTCGCTATGCGTCTCCGCCACAACCCCCATGTGGAGCTACGGTACGAAACACGTGCGAGAGCCCGCTGGCGTGCGGCCACTATGTGTGTGTGCTGCTGTGTGGTGTGTTGTGGTGTGTGCGGAGGAGCGACGGAGAGCGCGTGCGCGTGTGATGACGTACGCTTTGGAATTGACTGCCTACTCGCGCGGCGTACCCTCGTGTGCGCCGCGCGTCGTGCGGACAACGTGCATTGGTGTGCATACCTCTACTGTTACTCAAACTACCTTCTGAGGCGCGCGCGCTGTCCGTCCACGCACACACGTACACACACTCCACCACCACCACCACGACCGCGCCATTGTTGTTCTTGCCGCTGCCGACCTGAACCACCCTGCGGAGCTGCCGCCTCCCCCACCCCCTTCCCCGGCGTCACACGGATGACCTTTCTATTCGCATCGCGACACGCTGACACCACATCTGAGTGACACGCGAAAGGAACTTCACAATCGAGAAAGAACAGCTGAGTGCGCCGCGCGGAGAGCATGCGTGCGCGGTGGCGGGCGGAGCGGAGGTGCCGAGGAGACAGCGAGAGAGCGAGAGCGCGGAGGCGACGCAGCGGTCGGCGTGATGAATCTGCTGAGATGTGATCAACATCATAATTGGAAGACGAGTCTGAACTCTGATGCACCTACTACTACACGGCACTGACGCGACCGCGCGTGCGTTCCTCTTGTCATTCTGCCTGTTTTTGACCCCCCCCCCCCCCCCGGGTGCGTTACTGTTGCCTGCGTTACAAGGTAACGGTCATCCGAAGGGACTCTTGTTTCGTGGGAAGAGATTGCTGCGCAGGTGTGGCTCTTTTGGTGTGAGGCTTTCACGGTTGGATGTCGGTGGTCTATCGTTGTGTTTACGACCCACCGTGGCATATGGGAAGGCGATCTGACAGCCCTTTGTTTAAATAAATCTTCTGTTGAGCTACTTTTCTTCACGATAAGTGCACGGTCGCTTCTTTCTGCTGTGCGTTGAACAAAAGCGCTTCCTGAATCCTTCATGGTACCATCTTAAGCCGATGGCGCTGCTCGAAAGCGTATGTTTCCTTTCTCGATTTCCTTCACCACCTCTCTATTTCTCTCTATGTGTGGCGGTTCTTTCTGCATCGATCGATGGTGATGGTCTGTAATTTAAGTTAAAACTTTATAGTATTTCAAAGCGATAAGACCAACGAACACATTTTCCCTTCGTACTTCACAAACAAAACGTTTGTTCGTTTCAAAGAAAAGTGCGTTCATACTCCTTATCAAATTAGCTCTCTAGCTTTACACGGTACGCGATTCCTTCGACCCCAGTCCATTCGTCAAGAGCCGCAGCGCCTCTACAGCAATCATGACGATTGATGCGCGGCCCACCTCCCCGCGGCCGCTGAAGGCCACCGCCTCTTCTCGTGCCCAGAGTGACGAGGACAACTACGAGCAGCAGCAGCAGCGAACGGCCGAGAACGGTGTCTTCAAGCGTGTCGCCGCCTCCCTGCAAGCGCAGCGCACCGTGCAGCCCGTGAACGACCTCGCCGATAACATGAAGCCCTCCCGCTCGACCAAGCGGTGCCTTCGCCTATCCATCGGCGACCCGACCGTCGACGGCAACCTCAAGACGCCCGAAATTGTCATCGACGCCGTCGTCGACGTCGTGCGCTCGGGTGACTTCAACGGCTACCCGCCGTGCGTTGGCGCGGACAACGTGCGTCAGGTTGTGACCGACTACTGGCGTCGCTTCTGCCAGACGAAGAACCGCAAGGAGGCGGTGCACTGGGAGAACGTGATCATCACTTCCGGGGTGTCGCACGCCATCATGCTGGCTCTCACTGCCCTGTGCAACGAGGGCGACAACGTTCTGATGTGTGCACCGTCCTTCCCGCACTATAAGAGCGTGTGCGACAGCTACAACATTGATTGCCGCTTCTACAACCTTGACCCGTCGAAGCACTGGGAATGCGACTTGAACCAAGCGGCCGGCCTCGTTGACGACCGCACAAAGGCGTTCATCATCATCAACCCGTCCAACCCGTGCGGCAGCAACTACTCGCGCGCCCACCTGAACGAGATCATCGAGTTCTGCCAGTTCCGCCAGCTCCCCCTCATCAGCGACGAGATCTACGCGGAGATGGTGCTGCACAACGGCATCTTTACCTCCATTGCCGACTTCGACACTAACGTGCCGCGTCTGGTGCTAGGTGGGACGGCCAAGTACCAGGTATGCCCCGGCTGGCGCGTGGGTTGGTCCCTCCTGATCGACCGTCTCGGTGTGGCCAGCGAGTGGATGGACGGCATGTCGCGTCTGTCGCAGCTCTTCTCGGGGGTGAACTCCCTCTGTCAGGAGGCGATTGCGCGGACGCTGCTGGACTGCCCACCCGCGAACACGGAGCACCTAGTGGCGCAGCTGGAGGCAGGGGCGAAGGTGTACAACCGCCTGCGAGAGCACGACATCGGCCTCACCTTTGACCCCCCGCACGCCTCGATGTTCGTGATGCTGAAGGTGAACTTCAGCTACTTCAAGGACATCGCGTCGGACATGGACTTCTACGAGAAGCTGCTGGATGAGGAGAACGTGCAGGTGCTGCCGGGCGAGATCTTCGGCATGACCGGCTTCATCCGCGCGACCGTTTCGCGCCCGCCGCCGGTGCTGAACGAGGCGGTTGACCGCATCATCGAGTTCTGCGAACGCCACAAGAAGTAATTTTTTGTCCTCAGAATAACCTAATCAACACAGAACACGTGAGTATGCGAGTGGGTTTGGTTTCAGGGACAAGATCGATATGGCGGGCGGTGGCAGAGACTCCCTATGCGACACTGCAACGCGTCATTCGTCTTGTTTATTCCTCCTCGTGGTCACCCGCACAGTCTCTCTGTGTGTGTGTGTGTGTGTGTAAGCGTTTGAGAGTGGTCTTTTCGTTCTTTCTTCTCTTTTCGTGACTCCGGAGGATCTTCCAACCAGCGCAAGCGGCGGTCGGGAGGGCTCGACTGCAGCGATGTACTACGCAGTAACGTAGAAACACTGTAATGAACGGCAAAATCTCTGCGGACACGCACGACAAACTATGTACTTCTTCCCGATAAGATGTTCCTCCTTTCCGTTTGTTTTCTTTTTGCTACGTTGATATTGTTTTGCACCGTCATTTCGCCCCTCGTTCCCCCACTCGTTCCCCCCGTCCTCCCCCCGGCCCCAGCGAATGGTTTTCAACGGGGCGAATGTTCTTCGCAGCTTTGTCGGTATTGTCCAGTATTCCTGCCTACGTGTTTTTTTCTTTTGCATACTGCTGTTTGCTCACCAAACAAGGGAGTACTCTCAACTGTGATGACCTCTTCCTCGTCGTCGTCGTTTCTTCCTTGAAGGACTTGCCTTTTCTCTCTCCTGATGATGATGATGATGATGTTTATTATTATTTTTTGGTTTTCGTTGGGTGAACAACTACTCGTGAGATCACCAGGGAGAACGAACAGCGTTTGTCGTGCGAGACGTGATTCCTACGCGCGTACAGCATCTTCTCATTAGGAGGGCACCTTTTGTTGTAGATACCGCCTTCCGAAATGGATAACGCGTTGTCCCACGAAAACGAATTTGGCGGCTTCGATGCACGCGTCTGTGGGTGTGTGTGGGTGTGTGTTTCTCGTTAGACACGTACACGAAGAAGGGAAAAAGGCATTCATGATTGAGCAGATCTTTTGAATGGAAGGGGACAGGCTTTTCATTTTTCTCTTCTTTTCCATTGGTTTGGTTATTATTATGGGCACGCTTTATTATGCCTGTAGTTTTATTTATTTATTTAGTTCGAGTTTTCTCATTGGCAACGTGAACAAACATCTACACCACATTGTGATCCGAAGAAACATTGAGACTGCATTCACACCGTTACTTTTCTTCTCCTTTTTTTTTCTTCGTTTCCTCACAAGTGTCAAAAGTTTTTAAAGAAACAAAAAAAAAGACCACTAAAAGATGAAAGGAACAAAAAATCATTCAGAACGGCGCATAAATTTTAAAAATTTCGTCTCGGCTTTGCGGTTGCCGCATTGAATTCTCTCTCTTTCATAAGTTTTCCTTTTTCCTCGACTCGATTATTTTTACTAAAATAAACGTGTTTTCCTTATATATATATATATAGATGTCTTCTTGTTTGCCGTGCTCTTTTGTTCCGATTTTTTTTCTTTTCTTCGTTTTATCTTGATGATCGAGGAACGCCTCATAAAAGATTTTTTTTTCGAAGATTATCCGCATTGAGGGCACTGTCGTCTTCTATGTGGGACGCCGTTTACTTGTCCGCTTTCAGCTCTGTTCTCGTCACCACTGTTTGCTTTCTTGCTTTATGAAAAGAGGCACTCGTTTGAATGACCAGGTATATATATATATATAGCGCAAAGATGTTGGTTTCTTTGTTTTATGGAAAAACAAGCAAAGACTCTGAAGGCGCTGTTCGAGAAGCGATAAAAGAAGAACGAATTCGAAAAAAGAATACCACTGGATGGGAGAGGAACGTGTACCCAAGTGTCCGACTTCTCCCTGACGTATTCTTATGTTTCTTTTTCCCTTTTCTTCATGGTGATCGTGTTGTGATCAACAAACCCTTTGTTTTTTCGAGTTTTATTTTCTTCTTTTTTACTATTATTGTTAGCTTCGTTATGCCAGAGCCGAACCGCATGTGATGGCCCAGCCTGCATCTTACGCAGATGGATTGCAAACTTCGGTCATGTTAAAGGTCAGGGTAGAGGAAAAGAGAAAAAGAACTGCCGCGACGCTTTGGGTTGATTTTTGTTTCTGTTCTTTGTTTTTGTTTTCGCGTCATTTATACTGCCCAGGACAAACCGAGGCTCAATCATCAAGTTTCCTTCTTGCTTGGTTTGCTTCTTTTTTTTACAGCAAAGAAGAAGGAGAAAGGTAGCCAAGACGAAGTGTGTCGTGGGAAGGGGCGTCAGGTTCTCGACTCTGGGAGCTGTTCTAAAGCAACATATGAGCTCCTTCGTCCTCGCCGACTCCCGGAACGGCACGCATGGCGCACCTCAAGGCCACCACGTTTTTTCTTCTTTGTTTTCTCTTCTCTTTTTGCCACAATACCAAATGTCTCTACTGCCTGGCGCTTCCCTCGTACACGTGAAATTCGTACTTCGGTGAGGTACGCGTCTTCTTCAATGCCAGCAGATGTGGATGGCCTTGCACAAATAAGACAGGTGAAAAGACACAAAGGAGGAAGCCCTGAGGGGAGGGGAGGGGATTCTCTCTTGAGGAGTTAAAGTTTGATGAGAAGCAAACGAACAGCAATCAGAAGTACATTTCCGGTTGGCTGTTGGTCTGTTTGCTTTCCTTTTGGCCTTTTTTTGTATTTTGAATTGTTTTTGTTTTTGTTCTTTTCTTTGTCCATTTTTTATGGTGTTTTCTCTTCTTAAGTGCGAGGCAAACCCTAAAAGACAAGGAAATTTATACGCTCTCTTTTTGATTGCGCTTCTTTACAATTCGAATGGCAAGTGCGAAAAGAAAGGAAAAAAATGGGCTTGCGAAACGTGCTTTTCGATTTTTTTCTCAGAAGCATTCCTTGGCTCGCACACCTCGTGTGAACGTGGTGACGCTTTGAACGGTGTATCGGCGGTGGCGCGCTGAGGAGGAGCTCTATCAACGGCATCGAGATAGTGGTGAAAAATTTCCAGTGGAGGGTGCGCAGCTGAATGCCCGGGAGGCCACAAGCACCGTGTTTCTTTTTACGGTTTCACCTTCGAATGATACCCTCCTCTCTCGTCTTCTCTGTTTTTCTTTTGTTGCTGCTGCTGCCGGTCACGACGCACGCAAACGCACATCGGTACATGGGTATGTGTGCCCTCCACCGCTGCACCTCTGATATTGTTGTCTACCCTGCACTACCGGCACCTTCGTGTATCAACGAGTAGAGCTTTTAACGAGCAATCAAGTCTTCTTTCTCTCTCTCGCCTGCAAGAATCACTCCCTATCAACCTAGATTTTTCTTCTTTCATCATTACTTCTATATTTGAAAAAAAAACTAAGCTAAAGCAGCAATGAGCAGCTTCCCTGAGGTGCACGCGTCGAAGCACGCCCAGCGCACTCTGCAGCCGCTTACCGAGCTGACGGACAAGATGAAGCCGTCGCATAGCACGAAGCCTCTCATCAAGCTCTCCATGGGCGACCCGACCGCCGACGGCAACTTAGTCGCGCCGCAGATCCTCGTGGACGAGATGGTGGACATCGTGAAGTCGAAGGACTTCAACGGCTACCCGCCCGTCGCCGGCTTCAACGATGCTCGCCAGGTGGTGGCCGAGTACTGGAAGAAGTTCTGCGGCACGCCGGGGCGTAAGGATCAGATCCACTGGAGGAACGTGCTCCTCACCTCGGGTGGCTCGCACGCGATTATGCTGGCCATCAGCGCGCTGTGCAACGAGGGCGACAACCTGCTGGTCGGCGCACCGGCCTTTCCGCACTATAAGACCGTCTGCGACAGCTACGGCGTGGAGTGCCGCTACTTCCCGCTGGATGCGGCGCGAAATTGGGAGGCCGACCTGGACGCCGCGGCGAAACTGGTGGACAGCAAGACGCGTGGTGTGCTCTTTGTGAACCCCTCCAACCCTTGCGGCAGCAACTACAGCCGTGCGCACGTGGGCGAGATTATCGAGTTCTGCGAGAAGCACCACCTACCCCTGATCAGCGACGAGATCTACGCCGAGCTCGTCTTTAAGGACGAGGTGTTCACCTCGATCGCTGACTTCGACACGGACGTGCCGCGCGTGGTGCTGGGCGGTTCGGCTAAGCACGCCGTCACTCCCGGTTGGCGCATCGGCTGGCTCATCCTTGTCGACCGCAAGGAGGTGGCGACGGCGTGGATGAAGGGTATGGACCGGCTGGCCCAGCTGCTGACGGGCTCGAACTCCATCGGACAGATGTCGCTCGTGCGTGCCCTGACGAAGATCCCGCAGGACCACGTGGACAGCGTCATTGCGCAGCTGGAGGAGGGGGCGAAGGTGTACAACCGCCTGCTGAAGCATGACATCGGTCTCTCCTTTGACGCCCCGCGTGCGTCGATGTTCATCATGTTGAAGGTGGATTTCAACTACTTCAAGGACATCGCGACGGACATGGACTTCTACGAGAAGCTGCTGGATGAGGAGAACGTGCAGGTGCTGCCGGGCGAGATCTTCGGCGTGCACGGCTTCGTGCGAGCCACGACGTCACGCCCGGCCCGCATCGTCAACGAGGCGGTTGACCGCATCATCGAGTTCTGCGAACGTCACAAGAAGTAGCACGGCGTGCATGATTGAAAGAACGTAAAAGGAATACGTATATGTATAACGCCTGTACGTTGGTCTTTCTCTGTCACGAGTAATGTCATGGTTTTACTCTGCTTGTTTGTTTGTTTTCACGAATGTTCAGCTGTTCTCTGTCACTTCTCCTCTTTCACCCTTCACGCCCTTTTTGTTGCTTTTCTCCCCCCCCCCCCCGTAACGCTCCGTTCATTGTGTGCTGAACTGTGCGGACCACGGTACACAGAAAGTCTACACTGTTGCAGCTTTGGACTGCGTTTTACAAAAAAGAAAAGCACGAATCACGGAGAAGTGGACGGTGAGTGCGCAGGAAGAAAGAAAAAGCCTTCGGAACTACCGTGATCCTGAAGAGCTTTAGTACTATTATTATTATTATCGTTGTAATAAAAAAAAAAACGGGAAAGGCAAGATGTCCTCTTCTGTTTTTCAATGCTTTTTGTTTTCTTCTTGAATTACGCAAACGAGAACTAATGAACAAAAGGCAAAGCAGAGAACTGGGAATGCGCTGCACAGGTCTTTCATATTCGGATATGTGCGTATTCCTAGAGCGATTCCAGCTGTTGTTAATAAAGGCATGTCTATGATGCGAAGAGGTAAGACGGGAACGAAAAAAAGGACTAACTATGCTACGATGTTGTCATCTTTTTTATTTGTAAATTAAGTTATTCTATCTTTCTTTTTCACGTTTTTACGTTTCAAGTCGTCAGCAATGATGCATTTCGCGTGGATATGAATACGCTCGTTTCGTTAGCATCTTTAGTGTCCTTTAGTTACTATTATTATTGCTGCTTTTCATTTATCGGCAGCAATATCGCGTGAGTCTCGACCGTGAACTACGTATTCCTACCACCGCGTTATTCATGCTAGCGTTTGTTTTGTTTTTCATATATTTTTTTGTGAACACCTTTAGAGCCTGTAATAAATTGACGAAATCGAAAAACAGAAGAAAGTGTTACACAGAACAAATGCACCACCCCGTCAACCAAGCGAAGAGCTGGAATTGCTGATGCCTGCCAATTGGACCTTTTTTGTTGTTGTTTCACCCTTTCCTCCCTTTACTGTTTTATTACTGTTCTGACAACGCGTATATGTCGTTACGCTCCATTTTTTTGTGTTTTCTTTATTATTATTATTATATTTATATATTTTTTCCTCCATCTGGTATCGCGTACGGCAGACATTGCGTCATGGAGGTGAGTAGCCTCTTCTTGCACTGCACGATAGGCACGCATTGCGTAGCAAACGTTTCTCTCTTTTTTTCTTCTTCCTTTCCGCAGTATTCGTCGTCCATCTCACTCTTTCTTCGTACGCTTATTTTCGCGCTGACATCGACCGTATTTCCTTACAAATGTCCGAACAAACGAAGGAGGAAACTCTCTCTACTTTTGTTTTATTTATGTATGTGTGTGTGTGTTGCACGTGCGTGTCTTTTTATTCGCTCCGTCTGCGGTGTGAAATGCAGTCCGGCATGGAGCGCTCCTCCGTGCGGTTGAGTTTGTTCTGAGTGTGACGAGGCAGAGTAGCCTCTGTCACTTGTGAAGAGCGTGACTTGGTTGGTCTCTAGTGGTTTTCACACTGCGCGCAGACCGGATTACCCCTCACTTTTGTATAGCACCCTGCTCGAAAAAAAACTGCCTCCCACTCGCGCTCGTTCTGCTCTCTGCCGTCTTTTCTTTCCCTTCCCAGCCCGAGAAGCTCACGATACCTTCATTGTAGTTCAACACTGACGGCTCTACGCACAAACCTTGCTTCTGGACTGTCCACGACCAAATCCACTTAACTCCGCCGCTCACGTATCCTACGCTGTTTCACGTGCGCGCGCATTTTATACCCCATCGCGTTTGCCTCACTGCGTGTGTGTGTGTGTGTGTGTGTGTGTGTGTGTGTGTATTTCTTCTGCTTTCCCTTTGTTACCCAAACGAATCATGCCCCCTACCGGTGAATGGTCTGTCACGTGTTCCGCGCAGGCGAACCGCATCTTCAACCCAATCCGGGCCGTCTCCGACGCCTCGCACTCCTCTCTGTCGACCAAGTCCCTCATCAAGGTTTCCGTCGGCGACCCTACACTCGACGAGGGCTACCTGCCGACCTCGAAGGTGCAGCAGGCGGCGCTGCAGGAGGCCGTCAACTCCTGCCAGTACGGGGGGTACCGCCCTGCGGCCGGCACCGACGAGGCGCGTGCGGCCGTGGCAGAGTATTGGAAGCGGTATTTCGTCAGCACGGCGGCGCTCAAGTCCCACATTGTGGCGAGCCACGTCGTCATGACGTCCGGCGGCTCGCACGCGATCCAGATGGCCATCGCCTCGATTGCGAACCCCGGCGACAACATTCTCCTCCCCGCCCCGGGCTTCCCTCACTACACTACCATCGCCGTCACCTACGATATCGAGCAGCGCTACTACAACCTTGACCCCGAGAAGAACTGGGAGGCGAACGCAGAGGAGATCAAATCCCTCTGCGACGCGCGAACGAAGCTGCTGGTGATGACAAATCCATCCAACCCGTGCGGCAGCAACTTCTCGCGCGAGCACGTCGAGCTGCTGGTTCGCACGGCCGAGGAGCTGAAGGTGCCGATCTTTTCGGATGAGATCTACGCCGGCATGGTCTTCCAGCACGAGGAGAACCCCAACAAGACGTTCGTATCCGTCGCGGACGTCGACACGGTGGTGCCGCGCGTGATTCTCGGCGGCACCGCGAAGTCCCACCTCGTCCCCGGCTGGCGTATCGCGTGGCTTCTCTTCGTCGACCCTGCCGGCCACGGGGCGGACTACTTCCGCGGTATCCACAACGATACGTCTCTCTTGGTCGGTCCCAACACTCTCGGCCAGGCCTCTCTGCCCGCCGCGCTGCTCAAGACGCCGTCCGACTACCTCCCTCGGGTCACTGCCATCATCGCGGAGAGTGCGATGACCTTTTACCACGCCATCAACAACGGCAGCATCAACGCGGATCCGGAGAGGCGCATGCTCATCGCCACCCGGCCGCAGGCTGCGATGTACGTGATGGTGAGGATCGTGCTCGAACACTTCAACCCTGCGGTGGTCAGAGACGACCGCACCTTCTCCAGCAAGTTGTTTGAGGAGGAGAATGTGCAGGTGGTTCCTGGCACCGCCTTCCACGCTCCCGACTGCTTCCGCGTGGTCATCACACGGCCGGATGCCGTGCTGGAGGAGGCGGCGCAGCGCATGATTGAGTTCTGCGAGCGCCACCGCAGCGAAAACAGGCTGTCGCCGGCAGAGGCGAAGGAGGAGGCCGCCGACGACGCAGAGGATACGAAGAGTGAAAACAAGGCGGAAGCGAAGGAGGAGGCCGAGCACGTCGAAGAGGCGACGGAGGAAAGCGAGAAGAAGGACATCGAAGACGAGTTGTAAAACGCACACAGCGTTGCCGCGTGGTTCTTCCTCCTGCGCCAGTACGAGCACAACACGTCGCGCTTCTTTATCATTATTATTATTTTTACATTGCAAGCGATTTCATAGGTTTGTTTTGTTTTGGTTTGTTTTGTTGTCCTTAGTGAAGGTGGTTCTCCCTTTGGTGAGTGAGGTGAAGGGAAGAAAGGAAAGACTCGTCTATTTTGTAGAACCGTTTTTTCCTTCTCTCCACCAGTTGTGGCCTTTTTTATTTCTATCATTTTTTTTTGTCTGTTTGTGTCTCTCCATGGCGCTCTTTTGAACGCTGCTGTCACTCTTCTTTTTCTTGTTTTCTATATTATCGACTGTTATCCACACGCCGGAGGAACTCGTATACGTTGTTCTTCACCCTCATTCGCGATTTTTTGCTGAATGCCAATTCTTCTTTTCTTCTGTTAAGCTCGGTGTTCCTCGTAAAACACTTCTATATGTGTTTTAGGTGGTCCTTCCGTTACAACGGTTTTTGCGCGTGTATGCTGTTTCACATTCTTGTGCTTTTCTTTTTCATTTTACAAGACGGTTTATGATCAGCTGAGCAGTTCGCCTGTTGCTCATATTGTTGTCTTTTTTTTCATGGAAGTTAAAAGCAGTACCTACGAATAACTTCATGGTAATGAACGAGGTAAACTGCACCGTGTGGTGCCCAAGACACCTGAAACGCTTTTGAATACCTCTGTAATACATATTCTTAACGACAAAGAAGTGGCAATGAAAACAGCCGAAAGATGTGACCACCTTTTCTCTGTCTCGGCAGACAAGAGAGTTCGTATCGACGGCACGAACCAGCAGAAAAAGGGGACGGGCGGTTGACGTGTAGCGCGTGTGCTACGCTGCAAACCCGTTAAACGGAATTCGAAAGGCACTTTCTTTTCTCCCTGCAAATGCAAGTTTGTTCGTTTGCGTGATTGGCACACGGGGGGTTTCACTCTCGAACTCCACTTTCTCCCTCTGTCGTTCCCGCATTCTCGCTCTCTTCTTCTCGAAAGGTTCACGACCTTTTCACGCCTCGCAGTTTCTCTCTGTGCTTCCGTAATCTGTTCTTTCTTTTCTGGGCTCTTTGCGCTTTTCGTCATCGCTTTATTATCGCCATCTTTTTGTCTTGTTTTCTCCTTCCCTCAACGACTCCCACGCTTCCGCAGCCATGACGCGCACCTGGGACAGCGTCAAGCCGTCGCAGCGCAGCCAGTTTCCGCACCCCCTGCTCGCCTTTGGCGCCAAACTGGGCCAAATCTCCGAGGCGAACAAAGCGCAGCACGCGGCGGAGAGCAAATCGCTCATCTCCCTCGCCGTCGGTGACCCGGCCCTCGATGGCAACATCCCACCGCCGACGGAGCTGATGGAGAAGTTGGACGCGGCGGTGCAGCAGGAGCGGGCCAACGGGTACAGCCTGAGCCACGGCTCGCTGAGTGTGCGTCAGGCCATCGCCGAGTACTGGGCGCGCTGGTTTGCACCGTCGCTGCCGGCAGGCACGCTCTCGGCGAATGACGTCGTCATCTCCTGTGGCTGCTCTGACGGTCTGTCGATGGTCTTGGGCGCCATCGCGGCCGCCGGGGAGAGCATTCTCCTGCCCCAGCCGTTCTTCTCGCAGTACACGATGACCTGCAACTACTTCGGCATCCAACCCGTTCACTACCCCTGTCTGGTGGAGAGGAACTGGGAGGTCGACCTGGAGGCGGTGCGTCGCATCGTGGAGAACGATCACGAGCACAAGATTCGCGCTATTCTCATCAACAACCCGTCCAACCCGTGCGGCAGCAACTTCTCGCGCGCGCACACGGAGGCCATTGTGCGCCTCTGCGCGGAGCTGCGCCTGCCCATCGTAGCCGATGAGATTTACGCCGGCATGACGTACAACATCGACAACCCCGCAGCGGAGGTGCCTTTCACGTCTGTCGCCGACATCGCATGCGGCGCGACGCGCTTTGTGGTTGCAGGCGCCTCGAAGCGCTTCGGTGTGCCGGGCGAGCGCATGGGTTGGATTGTCCGCGTCGACCCGACAGACGCCGGCTCGGAGGTGATGAAGGGCATCTTGAACCTGTCCTCGCGCTACTATATCCCTATGACGCCGTTGCAGGTCGCCTTGGAGGAGTGTCTGCGCACGACTGATGAAACCTACTTCCGCCACGCGAAGCAGGTGCTGTGCGAGAACGCGCTGTATTTGTTCAACGCTCTGTCCAAGGTTTCAGGCCTGAGCCCGATGAAGCCGTCGGGTGGCATGTTCATGTGTGTCGTGCTGAAGAAGGAGGAGTTGGAGGAGACCATGTGCGATGGCGTGGCCTTCGCAAACGGGTTGGCGGCAGAGGAGAACGTGCACGTCTTTCCTGGGGAGGCGTTTCTTATGCCTGGCGCGTTTCGCCTGACGCTGTCCCGCCCGCTGCCGGTGGCGGAGGCCGCTGTTGGTCGCATCCGCGCTTTTTGCGAGCGTCACGCGCGCAAGTGAAGTGAGGAAGCGAGAGCAATTATTATTGATGCGTCGAAGTTTTACGCAGCTCGACTGCACGCAATCGCGGAAGTCTTGAAAAAAAAAGAGTGGTGCTGTCCTCACCGATGTTGTAAGCCTTTTTTTTTGGGGTGTGTGTGTGTGTTGTGCGTGCTTAAGTCACGCTTTTTAAAATCTAAAGCGTTGATGCTGCTTTTGTTTACCTTCATTAGCTTAACGGTTCCTCATTTTCCACGAGTGACTTCTAACGACGCCTTTGGCGTGTGTTGACTCGTCTGTTACTTCGAACTTCCTTTCCATAAGAAAGAAAAAACACTTTGCGTTTGGCAAATGATGCGTGTGTGCTCGCTTCTTATTTTTTGGTTCTTGTTTTTGCAGGCAATTGATTTCGTGCTCGATGAACTCTCCACTGCCAAAACACAAGAAACGAGTCAGTGTCGCAGCTCCACCCCACCATTTCCGTCGTGGCGTGGGAGGCGGCAACGCAAGTCGGAGCAAAGTTGGAGAGTTCGCTGGGAAAAACACACGGGCGACTTACCGACCACTACGGTTTCTGAACTTGAACGCAAGAAAAGGAGGGGGAAGAGAGAAGGTACTTCTTGTGGTTCATGACGACAACGAACAGAACGTCATGGAGAGTGTGCATGGACGTTGCTGTGTCAACATGATTCCAATTCTTTCCTGAGCAGTTTGTGAGAGACCAAATTGGCCCACACTGCGCGTACATCTGTCTCGTTTCGGAATCCGTGCATTTCGTGGCTCTTCCTTATGTTTGGATCATAGGCATAGGTAAAAAAAAAGAAGTTGATGTCGTCCAGCAGCCTCATTCTTCTTCTGAGCTCGTCACTCTATCTGCCTCTTTTCTTAATAATTTTTGTTTCCTCTTCTCAATATATATTTCAGTCACTGCTACGCATAAAGCGTATATATATGTTAATAGCCGATTGTGTCTTCGTTGGCAATACTACGAACAACGTAATTCAAACTAAAAAGAGCTACAAAATAACCGAATGCCGCCTCGCGACACGCAGTCGTCGTCCGCCGGTACCACCCGCATGCGCCCGGTAAGACTCAATGTGACACCCATCACGAAGAAAATGTATCGCTGCTTCTCCCGATCTCAGGCGCAGGAGGCTCTCCTAGCAGAGGAAGCAGCGATCACGTCGAAGATGACGTTAAAACGTCGTCGCTCTCATGGCGAGGCCTCGGCTACGTCGTCCTCCGCTGGCGATGTTGCGGAGCGGGATCAAGTGCGCGCCCCTCCATCGGCTGCTGCCTTCACGATAGAGACGACATCGACTGTTGTCTCCACCGTTGCTCCTTCTCTCTCCGCAAACTCAGGAGACGAAAAAAAGGAAAGGAAACACCGAACTGGTGCCTCGTCTTCCAAGGTGCATCGATGAGTCTCGTGGACGACAAGTGCTGGTACAGAAAACCGCGAGACGGTTGAGTTATTGGGTTTTTTTTTCCGGAGAGGGCAAATTCGCATCCCGTGGGAATTGTCTTTGTTTGTTTTCTCGTGCTTTCAGCAGTCTTGTCTTCATGTCACGCATCGTTCGTTGAGGGGTGATGCGAAGAGAGAGAGAGAAAGAGAGAGAAACGAAACAACGCAAAAGACGTAGTACTTTTCTGTGTGTGATTGCAAGGAACACAGACGCGAGGTTGTACTGTCACGGGTTATGATGAACAGAAGAGGACATGAACTTTGATTACGCAAATCATTACCTTCCGCACGTGCTCTCTTGTCTCACTCCCTCTCCAAAGTCCCTTCGCCTATCTCACCATAGTCTTTGGAAACACTTACTCTTCCCTTAAAAAAAAAAAAAACATCTCTACGAAAGGCGGCGACCGCTACCCCGTCGACTTCTTGTTGCACTCACAACATACGCACGCAGTCCATTTTTCTTTTCTTCTTCTTTCTGCAATTCAGTAGCTCAGCAAATGGACTCGCAAACCCGCAGTGGTTTTCGTGCGTCCGAGTTACAGCGATTCACCTTCGCGCCACGGACGGCAGAAAGCGTTGCATGCAATGGGGCTGCATCGTGCCCCAAGGCCTTCGATGACGTCGACGACTCGCAACAGACGGATCGCTCGTTTGAGATGCGTGGGGAAGACGGCGAAAGAGCGCAAGAGACCATCACCGTTCGAACAACGGTGCCGCGCACCACATGCGTCACGAGCAGCAGTCCTCTTTCCAGGAGAGAGCAGCGCAGCGCTGCAGTGCACGTTGATCCTCATCGCAGCCGCACCGTCGCCGCCGCCGCCGCCGCGAAGGAGGAGGAAGAAAAAGAGGCGGCGGCGGAGCCGCTGACGGCGGAGAATGAGACGTGGCGCCACTGGGGATTCCGGCATACCTGGAACGGTTTCGTAATGATGCTCCTTGGTCTTTATCAAGTAGTGCAGGTGGGTGTGCGTCGGCAGCCGGCGGATGTGGAGACGATCACCAACACAACCAACGCGTACATGTCCGCCCCTCCTCGTGCGGATGAACTGGAAAAGAAGGCGGGAGGACTCGGCAGCGCCGAAACCGTACCGTTATGAATATCCGCAGCAGACTTTAGCATCGTCTAAGCACTTCAGCGTGTTCCCCCCCCCCTCTCCCTCGTACGTGAGTGTGTGTGTGTGTGTGTGTCTCTTGTGTAACCGAAGAACGACATTGCATCGCGTCTAGCAGGTATCACTATTTCTGGGTGCATGTACAACTTTCCTTTCGTGTCATGCAGATGTGTATGGTGCTGATGCTTTGTTGCTGTTGTATATAAATATATATCTTAATGGAAGACTGTTGGCTTTCTTTTCTGCTGCTTGTCAATTATTGGAAAAACAACAACAACAGCGAAGACGCTGAAACAGCGCGCTGAGCGACAGCTGTTTGTCGCTCCGTACGCCTTTGTTTCACTTTATTTTTTCTATTTTCATTTTTTTTTCGCGCTTTGGGGCGCTGTCCATACTTGTCTCCTGTGTACTGCTCGAGTTTGACATGCGTACATTGTCCGCCAGAGGACGCATCGCGTGAGAACCCCAAGTGAGGCTCTTTCGGAAGGCTGTTGATCTCGTGCCTCCTTTTCTTTATTTGTTTGCTTGTTTGCTCTCCTCCGCCCCTCACGCATTTCATCAACCATTCAAGCCTTCCTTTTCATATTGCTACTTTGACTGCTGTATATGTCGATAAGCGACTGGCGGTGTCATAGGAAACTCAGAACACATGCAAAAAAGGAAAAAAAGTGAGCAGCTGTAAACAAGCAGTAGGATGAAAATGAGAACGAGGTACTTTTTTTTTCTAGCGGTGTATGGGAGCTGTTGGTGTCGTTTGTATTCACTGGGGTTATGTTCCTGATGTGCCCCCAACATGAAGACCAGCGGTGAATACGCATCTTTCTCCTTTTCTCCTTCCCTCCCTCGTAGTTCGCCGCACTCTTCTCTTCTCTTTATTATTATTATTATTATTTTTGGTCTCGCCGCCTCCTTTGCAGAATGTGCATTGGGTCTCCAGTGCGCACTACGTTCCTTCTATTGACTGTTTTGTTGTGTGTGTGTGTGTGTGTGTGTGTGTGTGTGTGTGTGTGTGTGTGTGCCAACCGTCGAGATACCGGAAGCATAATCTGCAGATCCACTTAATTGGAGCTCTCTTTCTCCCCCTGTATTAATCGAACTTCTCGCAAAGAAATAATTACCATAAAGTTGTACCAAAGACGCTGGCTGCTCCATCTCGGCTTCTCTAAGAACGCCATTCTTTGTCGCTACCCATCTGTACCACATAGAAAAACGTTGCTCTAAAAAATGTTCCACCTCAATTTGAGAACGGCAGCTTCTCCACCGCCCACCTCATCGGGTGCAACAGCCGGCACTGCCGTGACCGCGCCCGCCGACACCCCAGCGCTAAACGAGGTGCCATGGACGGTCATCGACGCGGATGAGAACGAGTCCTTCGAGAGCACCCCATCCACACGCAGCGGTGGCGGCGACGGCACCAACGAAAGCGGCTCGTCAGGCACCGCCTCTCCCCAGCTATCGGAACCGCAGGTGTTAGTGGACCAAGGTCCCTATCCGCACTGCCCCATCTTCATCCCGTCGAAGGGCCGGTGTGAGTTGGAGCGCAGCACCATGGCCACTCTCCTGCGCGATCTCGTGCCTTTTGTGTTGGTCGTGGAGCAAGATGAGGTGAAGGCCTACAGTGCACTGCTGGACCGCCTCGTCGGACAAAACTACGGTTTTGCGGGGATGGTTTACTCTTCACCGACAACCGGTGCCGCGCCGGGCTCGCCAGCGAAGGAAGCCGAGGCAAAGGACTCCAAGGAGAACGGTGCCACCATAAGAGACTCAGCGGTAGAAGCGGCGGCGGACGATTTATGGGACTTTCCTTGTGCCTGTTGCTGTCGCGGTGACGGGGGTAGTCGCGGCAGCAATACGAAGGGCAGCGGGTCGCCATTCACCGCCGTCGAGACACTCGCCCACCGGCTGTCGAAGTCGTTTCATCACGGATACGTGTTCGAGCCGCCCACACAGAACACGGCATCGGAGCAGGCGAACGACGCGCACAGCCGCGAAGAGGGCTCTGCGGAGACCGGTGCGCACCTGGGGAACGGCGGGGCGTTTCAGGGAGCCGCAGCGGAGCGGGTGGCGGCGGTTGCCGGCGAAAGCGGCACTTCACCCCCTCGTCGTCCGTCTCCCGCCTTTGTGCTGCGCGATGTGAACGACGTTCGTGCTCTTTTCCGCATTGAGGTGCTGCCGGAGGCGAACCGCGGTGTCTCGTACGTGCGCAACTACATTCTACAGGTGCTCGTCCCGCGTATGATGGTGGCGTGTGGGGTCGATCAGTCCGGCAATATGGAGGAGCTCTGCCTCACCGGCCCTGGGGAGCACAGCACCCTCACGCCAGCCGCGTTGCGCTCGGTTGCCCTCGATCCCGATGTGTATAACGCCTTGCAGAACAAGACGGACATGGAGAAGTACCTTGACACGCGACGGAGTCGTGCCACAGCACAACTGAGTGGCAGCGGCGGTGGACGAGGTGCCAAACCATATTACGCCGGCCTCACTGCCGGGGCGTACGGAGGAGCAGCGGTCGAGACAGCGACGGACAATGCAAACAGGCCGGCGGCGTCGTCACTGATGAATGGCACACAAGTCACGCGTGACACCCCGCGACTTCTGCACGGTCTCTTCGGCTTCTACTGGGTCCTGGATGACGACATCTACGGCTTTTATGAGCTGCAGGGAACAGGGCAGAAGCAGCAGCGTATTTCGAGTCGGACGATGTTGCGCGAGGTGGAGAGCCGGCTGCGGCTGCTGCGCCGCAACGCCGACCTCGCCTCTCCCCCGCCGCCCTCCGTGCCGCCAGCCGGGTTTGTGGTGTCGGCCAGTGCAGGCAGCCCCACCGGCTACGGCATCCCGCAGCAGCAATACGTCTTCACCGGGAAAGAGGATGCCCTGGCGAACAACTACATCAGCGGTGCAAAGGGGAGGTTGCCGACACTGCAGAACTACTCCCTCTACTACTCCACGGCCTGCTTCTCGCTCGAGTACGGCCGCTTCGCCCTCAGCTCAGCGCCGGACTCCTTGGCGGTCAACTCGTACAACAACATCGCGTGCCTCTTCAACTACACCCTGCTGCACAACCCACCACAGATGCGCTACTTTCCTCCAGGGGTGCCAAACGTGCGCCGCCCCGAGGACACCTTGGTCGGCTACCTCGGACACAGCATGCTGTGGTACCGCTTCGCGATTCGCGAGGACTACGACTTCACGCTGCAGCTCGTCGCCCGAGGCCTGTACACGCTGCGCTTCCGCAGCCTCTCCTTTGAAGTACCACAGATGATGAAGGTGCGGGGCGGCATGACGGACTACTACCGCAACTGCCAAGAGGAGATCCGTCAGCAGAACAACCGCTTTGTTCTGCAGTGGCCCGCCGTCGCGCAGCATTGGGTAAAAGGGAAGGAGGACAACAAGCGAGACGACATTCGAGTTCGGTGGGATTTGCTAAGCCCGGCCCGTGCGAAGCATCCCGGGGCCTTCCTTTACCTGAACGCCCCTTTGCCGCAGCTGCAGCCTCAGCGCAGCGACGAAGGCAAGTCGGACACCGCAGGCGCAGAGTCGCACAAGCGCGCCCGACCGACGTCGCCAACGGCAGGCGCGCTGGAGAGCAGCAGTGGCGCGCCAAGAGCGAGGGACGGAAATCCAACCCCGTCCCCGGTGGCGTCGGCCGCGCAGGATTGGAAGGGCGGCTACGTGGTGGAGCGGTGGCGCGACATCAGCCCTGCGGAGGCCAAAGCGCATGTTGGTCTGATTGCCCTGCCGAGCGATGCCGTCCACATTGGTCAGACCGTCGCCGCCATCCCGCCATTTTTTGAGCAGCAGCCCTCCGTGGTGCTCGCCACCGTGATCGACCGATCCGTAAAGGAAGAAAGCGCGTCGTCGAAGTCGCACGTGGTGTGGACGGCGGTGGCGCAGGATGTCCGGGGCATGCCGTTTCTGCACATCGAGACGTGCTATCAGCCTCCGGAGGAGGGCATTGTGACGGCCGCCGAGAAGCTGGACCGATTCTTCACCGGTCTTGATGCGTGAAGCAGTCAGCTTCGCATCAACCACGGCGAGAGCGGCCAACTTCTTGTTTATTAAACCACACACTCTTTCGCCAACTGTGGCTCTCATAGACCGATCAACAAAACAACCAAAAAACAACAACTGAACGGTTCGCAGCCGAACTGCTAAAGTGGTGATTTTATACTCAACCGACCACGCTTGAGACTCAAGCTTGGGCTTGTGTATGGGGGACAGCATTACATTTTTGTTTCTTGCGCAAGTACTGAGAGTTACTGAAGGTACTCTTCGGGAAATTGCAACGGGTTGAAAGCAGCAGAAGAAAACAAATGGTGTTCTCAACCGATGAAATCACGCATGCGTCTTCGTGGCCTGCTGACTCTAACGTGCTCTTTTTTTTTCTCTCCCTCCTCGGCCACACCAACACCAACACACACACACACACACGCACACGCACACGCACTCTATCACGCTTATTAATCGACGTTTTACATCTATCGTGTGGGACGACAGTCTGTTATTCGCTCCTGTCATTTTTTTACAACTATTTTTTCTCTTCATCATCTGAAAGTCATTTCTTTTCAAACTCGATCGCCGGTATTCTTTTCTGCTTGACAGCCTTCTCGTCTCGCTCCTTCTTTCACTCTCTCTCTCTCCCTACTTTAACACTACCATCACAATGTCCGCCGGTTCTGGTGAGTCTGCCCCGACCAACCTCGTGCGCCGCCGCGCGAAGGGAGAGGCGAACGAGGACGTCAACGCCGCCGCCGATCGCTTTCGCGACCGCTTCGAGAAGGCCACTCTCGAGGAGCGCAAGGAGGCGACCACCACCATGGTGAACGAGTACTATGACCTCGTGACGGACTTTTACGAGTACGGCTGGGGGCAGAACTTCCACTTCGCCCCTCGCTACGCCGGCGAGACCTTCTTCGAGTCCATCGCTCGCCACGAGCACTTCCTCGCCTCCCGCGGCGGATTCGTGGAGGGCGACCACATCGTCGACCTCGGTTGCGGGGTGGGCGGTCCGGCGCGTAACATGGTCCGCCTCACGCGCTGCAGTGTCACGGGGGTGAACAACAACGAGTACCAGATCAGCCGTGCTCGCCGCCACGACGCCCGCGCCGGCATGAGTGGTAAGATCGATTACGCCAAGACGGACTTCTGTGATATGGGGTTCGCGGACAACACCTTTGACGGCGCCTACGCGATTGAGGCGACGTGCCACGCCAAGGACAAGGTGAAGTGCTACAGCGAGATCTGCCGCGTGATCAAACCTGGCACGTGCTTCGTTGTGTACGAGTGGTGCATGACGGACAAGTACAACCCGGACGACGCCTACCACCGCCAGATCAAGCACCGCATCGAGCTGGGCGACGGTCTGCCGGAGATGGAGACGTGCAAGCAGGTGGTGGAGTACATGAAGAAGGCCGGCTTCGAGGTGGAGGAGGCCTTCGACGTTATTGTGCAGTTCGAGTCCAGCCCGATCAAGAATATCGCGTGGTATCAACCGTTGACGGGGAACTACACGACTCTGAAGGGTCTGCGCGCGACCCCTATCGGCCGTCTTTTCACGAACATCATGTGTCGCGTTCTCGAACTTTTCCATCTGGCCCCCAAGGGCACCCACAAGGCGGCGGAGATTCTGGAGGAGGCCGCGGACAGTCTCGCGATTGGCGGCCAGATGGGTATTTTCACCCCTGCCTTCTTCATCCGTGCGCGCAAGCCCGGAAAGAAAGCGTAAGAAGTTGAAGTAAAGCTGACCGATATATGCGGAAAGAAGAAGAAATCGCGGAGATTGTCTAAGCGAATACGCCACAACAGAAAAGAGAAAGAAAAACGTTGGCTCTTTCTTTTTCCCACGTCTCTCTCATTACCCATAGAGTGACGTCATGGTGGCATTGCAGGCGCGGAGACAACAGCCCGCGTTTACCGAAGGTCACTACCTTTCTTTTACTTATCAATCTTGAACCTTTTGTTCAGGAAAAAAAAGTAGCTGAATTTGATGTATGATTGTAGATGTGTGTGTGTGTGTGTGTGCGTGTGCTGGATTTCTCGCAGGGTGCAAACTCTCTTTTTGAAAAAGTTATTACTCATTGGATGAGTGTATTATTTTGATGTGTCCGGTTAGAAAGTTTCAATGAGTGGGCGTGCTCAACTAAGGTGAAGATCAAACATGCTCATCCACAACTGTAGGTACCTGCTGACTAATGAAGATGACCAGTTTTTTTTTCTGGGAGGGGGGGGGGTAACTTCTTTCGTGAGACACCGACTGCGCTGAAAATATTTCCTACGTTGCTGTTGGTGTTTTTCAGTCGTTGATTGAGAGTAAATAATGTCTTGTCGCTGCTGATTTCGTTCATCAGTAGTAGGCGAGACGAGTTGGTGAGTTCAAGATGAAAGCTTCGATTTGTCGTTGTTCTTTGGTGTACTTCCATAAGACTGAGGTGCAGTGAGGTGTGAGTATTATTGTTTCTGTGTTGATCGTGTGTGCTTGCGTACGAGTGTTTGTGTCTGTGTCGGTGGACCCGCTCTCGAGCTTCCTTTGTTTCTAAGGGGCTCCACGTTACTCTCCCACTTCTGTTTATTAGTGTCGCGCCTTTTTCGTAGTTGTACATGCGGGCTTATCTATCACTACTCTTTCCTCCTTCGTACGTACGCTCAGTGATGTCATTATTCTCTGTTTTATTTGGAAAAGAAGATAAAGGAGAGGTGAAAGAAATGGTAGAACGTCAACGCGCCTGCTTTAGCTCCTCAGACCTCTACCTTTTTTTTGGTTCTCAGCATGTTCTAGATGGGTATGCACGAAGAGTGTGTCTGCGTATCATTCCGGCAAGATCAACGTACCTTTCACATTTTTTTGTATTTCCTCTCCAATCAAAAAAGCGTAGTCTATTTTTTTTTACCTCTTGTTTTCAAAGAAACTTGTGTGAAGCCAACAATCACCTCGTGGGTTGTTGTCCTCTCTCTCGTCTGTGTGCTTCCGAGTTCGGCAAAAATCGACGGCTGCGCTGTGGAGATCACAGTGAGCATTGTGTGTATGTGTGTTTGCTTCGTCTCGCTCTCTTCATTTTTTTTTTTGAGGAGGGGGGGGGGTTCCGCCGCTGTCCTCATGTTCTCTCTTTACGCGGAGTTCTACCCTGTGCGATGAGCTTCTTGCACCTTTGCATTCGAACCGCTGCCAATATAAAAAAAAAGGAGAACAGGTCGGTCACACCATGAAGAGGAGTCTGCGTTCACCGAGGTCTGCACCACCACCTTGAACGACACAGCTCAGCTTTCGAATGCGTCTGTGCGAGGAAAAAAAAGTAAAAGTAAACCTGAAAGAACGCGTTTAAGACTGAATAGGAAAGTACACATTTAAAGATAAAAAAATAAAATTAACAAAGAAGAAGAAAAAAGACTTCGAAAGAAAACATTTGTCGCGATCTCTAGAGACAAAGTTACCCTCGATGTCTCAGGCACCGCACTTGCAACTTTCACTTCACTCTTTGGCAGTGCAGAACTGCTGATTTTGACTACCATGCTCCAGCGTTGGGATTGGTGCAGGTTGTCAACGCCCCCAACCGCTGGGTTGAAGGCTAGCAAATTGATTGGGACCTCCGTAAACCCACAACACACAACCCTGCCTATTGTTCGTGGGCTTGTTTTTTTTTTTGTTGCTGCTGTTCTACCATGTCTTATATATATTTCCTTCTTGTTTCTTATGTAAATTCTGACGTTCTGCCGATCGACGCCGCGTGCAGCACCAATTGCACTAGCATAGGACACATCCTCCCCTTCTCCTAAAAAAAAAAGGAAAATGCTGAGTGAGAGTGAGTACCACCTGGTGGTCGTCGCCTTCCAATCCATGGACCACGGCGGCATCGGCCTCATTCCGCTTAGCGAAGTGAAGCAGCGCTACTTCGCACACGCGCACCCACGCGTGAAGGAAGGCAAGATGGCTCCCTCCGCCGCACGAGACACCCTCGACCACCACTTTGGTCTCTGCGCGGCGGACCACGACGGCGGCATCACCTTCGACGAGTTCCTCGCGTACCATGAAAAAATCGCCGACGAGGCCTACGATGAGCAAGTCGGTGACATTCCGGCCTTTACGGAGCGCACAATCACGGAGCTGTGGAGGTTGGGGGACGTTCTGCTGCCCACCGGGGTACGACCGCTTTTCTCTATTTCCCAGGCCCCATCTGCTCTTTACGCCGTCACTCCTATGACTTTGGTTTGGGTAGAGCGGCGATCACAGCAGCAGCAGCCTGCAGTGGCCTCGTCCTCCTCCGCAAAAGTGACTCCGACTGCTGGTCGTGGCGACTTGAGTGCTTTGTTCGTGCTGCGTGGTATCAAGGATGTGGTTCGCCCCACCTTCTCTCGCGGGGACCTTCCAGACGAGCTGCAAGGTTACTTCGCCTACCCGGAGGAGCTGACCGGGATGGCGGTGGAGTACCTGCCGCCGCAGATATCGATGCAGAACTGGTACGATTTCTGCTGGGAGTACGCCGACAACAAGTACTGCGGTGTGGAGGGCATTATCTCCACCCGGGTGGATCGGGAGCTGCTGCCGGCGGGTCTACGGCAGTTCCTGTGCACCCACAGCACCGCCATCGCACGCCAGACGCAGTGGATTCCGTCGCGGCAGGCGGTGAATCCAATGTACAAGAAGACGAGCACCTCTTACGGCGTCGGCGTCACGGAGGAATGCAGAAGGATTCATTACTGGAAGGTGAACACCTTTGCAGGGAAGCAGTATGGCAATCAGTATCACGGACTGTGTGGGAAGCAGTTTTCGAAGGCGGCCGGACCAGTAAAGTCGAGCGCCGCAACCGGGATGAATATATGAGACACTCGAAAAAGCGCGAAAAAGGAAACCACGGCGTGGCTCGTTTGTCATCTTGGCTCTTCGTGCTGATGTACAATTTAGAATCTTGATGTCTACTTCAACTGAACACTAATCTGCCGTTGTACAAACAAACAACCGAAAAAGGCTGTGGTGATCTGCCCGTAAAGAGCGATAATAGAAAAGGAAGAGGTCGTGCCAGACACAAATTCTTCAGCTTTGTATAGTCATCTCACGCGTTCTGCAGCTCTCCTGCTTCTTTGGCGGAAGACTATTTTATCAACATGGCTGAGGGTTTCACCGTTGTAGCTATAACACTGAAGGTCATCAGTGGCAACACAGGCTGCAAACGAATAAAGAGACTCCCCTCTACTGCACGTTGGTCGTTTTCTTTGTTTCCTTGAACCTGCAAATGGACACTACAGCAAATATATATATTTGCGTCTGTTCACTTCCCTTCCGCTACCTCCTCTCCTTCTCTGGTGCATGGAGGTCTGCTTGAACTCATGCGTACTCCGGCCCCTTCGCCACACCCTTGTTTCTCTCCTTGCTGCCGCCGCAGCGCAAACTCGTTCTATCCGCATTCCTTTAACAACTATCGCTTTCGTGTTGTGTACCTTTCTTAGCCGTCTATATTCGCTGTTCCTTCTCTTCTCTTTGCCGCCTCTGAAATGTCCCAGGTTGTCAAACCCCGCCGCGTCGGCATCATCGGCAACGGCCACGTCGGCTCCCACATCGGCTACTCCCTCGCCATCCAGGGCATCGCTGATGAGATTTACTTCGCCGACTGCAACGCGGCCATTGCACGCTCGCAGGCCATCGACGTCCAAGATGCTGTCACCTACATGCCGCACCGCGTGCACATCGTCTCCTGCGGCGTCGGCGATCTCGCCGGGTGCGACGCGATTGTGCTGTCTGCCGGGCCGTTGCCGGAGGGCAACGAGTCGCGACTGGCCACCCTGCCCCGCACGATGCTAGTGGTGCTGGACATCGTGGCGCGGCTGAAGGAGCACGTCATGCCGACATTCAAGGGTGTTCTCATCAGCATCTCAAACCCGGCTGATGCCATAGCGACCTACATGATGAAGGCGCTTGACTTGCCGCCGCAGCGGGTCATCTGCACCGGCACCTGTCTCGACTCCGCCCGTTTGCAGGCCCTCCTGCACCGCGAACTGAAGGGCAACGTGTCGCCGGCGTCGATGCAGTCCGCCATGATGTTGGGCGAGCACGGCGACAGCAGCATCGTGGCCTGGTCAAACGTGCGGGTGGGCAGCAAGTCGCTGGACCAGCTGCAGAAGGAGAACCCCGAGCGCTACCCCAGCTTTGACCGCGCCGCGCTTCAAGACGAAGCGCGCAAACGCGGCTACGACGTGCTACTCGGCAAGGGCTCGACGGAGTTCGGCATTTGCACGGCGGCTGCTACCATCATCAAGTCTGTCTTTCACAACGATCAGCGTGTGCTGCCCTGCTCTGTCTACCTGGATGGTGAGTATGGTGAGAAGGGTTTGTTCGCGTCGGTGCCGGTGGTGATTGGTGCGAATGGTGTGGAGGACATCATCGAGCTGGAGCTGACGCCGGAGGAGAAGGCGGGCTTCCACCACTCCTGCGATGTCATCCGCTCCTGTATTCAGAAGGCGATGGCCTCTCACCCGTTGTAAGAGAAAACGCTGAGAGGCCACACGTGTTTGATTATGCGGCCCTGCGTTTGTCTCTTTACAGAGTAATTCTCCGGTAGTTACCGTTCTTTGTTTTCTTTCTTTCTTTCGTTTCCCGTTTATTGGTCTCCCCACTCATCTTTGTCCGGAGGCATCCGCGACCCGTCTGCGACGTTGCTTCTGCGTGTAAAACCGGAAGTAAAAAGCTCCTCGAATTTGATGTACACCTGTTTCAGGGACCCCAAGGGTGGTGGTAGGAAGCGTTTCAGAAAGGGGGTCGTTTTTTTAATTGTTTTTGCTACGGCTTTTAGTTTTTTCTGAGAGCTTGCGCCAGGAAAAATTCGCTGGGAGATGAATCGAAAGCTTCATGTTGTACTACTATCCCTTTCTCTTCTCTCCCCTCCAGTCGACCTCTCTCCAGGAAAGGTTGTTTTCTTTTTTTCCCACCGTCCCGCCCCTTTTCAAACCCCACGAGGTGGACATGCAGACGATCTGAGTCTGCAAGAAACTCCCTTTCGTAAAGTTCTAATTGGTTCAAAAATAAATATAAAAAGAAAATAACGCCGTCTACCCTTAAAGAAAAATGAAAACGATACAGGGATGTAACGACACTGTGTTGCACTTTATTGATCTTTCTCCTTTCTCCTTTCTTCTTCCTTCCTTCCTGATCTGAGAGTAGTCGACTAGAATTTTTCTTCCTTTGTATGCTCTGTGCTCGAGCACTATTACGTCAACTGTGCCGCCAGCATGCTCTCCTTTTTGTCTCTTTTCTTTCACTATTAATGCGTGTTTGTTCGTCTGCGTGTTTATATCTTACCTTTATTTCTTTTTCTCCTCGCGCATCCTCGCACGCCGTACTTGTTAAACAAGACAGGCAGTCAGCTTCGTTCGTCAAGCGTCTCTTTTCTGTGTGACGATTGAAACTCAGTCCTGTCCAATCCTCCTGACTAGCATATATATATATGAGCAGTCCTCTTTCTCCCGTCGTTTTTTCTTCTTCTTCTTTCGCACTAACTAACATGTCTTTCCAGTCGCGTAGAATGCGACTCTAAAGCTCGTGAAGAAAATGGTAAGAAAGTGCTGCTATCTACAACGAACGAGTGATTCGTCGCGCTGTGATGCCGACTGAAACGTAATGTTTTTCTTCGCCGTCCAACCTCCGACAAGTAGTCCCCAGCTCGGTCTGCTTGCCGCATCACTACTTTCTTCAACCTTTACTGTTTTAATATCTTCTCCCTCCCTCCCTCCCCCCTCCTCCTTTTCGGCCAGCGTGCTTTTCCTCTTGTCAACGTTTATCCATAAAGTTGTCTGATTGGGAGGGGCACAGCATCGGCTGTAATATGTGTTCTACCCTTTTTCTGTTTTGAACGACGTTGAGAATCTTTATGTTTCCTCGTGCATATACTGCACTTTATTGCGTGGTCTTCGTGTCGCACTGATTGCTGCTAGCAGCGTCGCGCGTGTTGTCTGATTGATTTCACTTTTCTGTGTTTCCTCGCCGTTTTGTGGTGCGTCTATCAAACGCCCTCTTCTGCTATTTTACTCAACAACTGGTATATCTGGTAACCGCTCTCTACGGTACTGTTGCAGTTGCAAACGTCACTCGAATTACTTTCTAGTACGTCGCTTATATACGTAACTCTGCTTCGTTAAGTTTTCCATCGAGTTTCCACGTCACCGCTGACACCTTGGGGGGGAGGCTGGGTTTTCATATATAAACATATACATATATATATATATATGTGTGTATTTCTGTTGGCATACTCACTTACAAGCACTTCAACTCCTCTCCTCCATGACTGTCTCACTGCACAGTCTCATTGAGGAGTGGGAGGCGATCAACCATGACCTGTTCAAAGCCTCACTGGAGTCTCATCGTCGCTACCCGTTTCCCGTTAGCCTCTTTAGCCCGGACTCAGTGACCGATCTGCCATCGAGTCGTTCTGCAGCCTCATCCTCGTCGACATCTGACTCTAGCACTGCAGCGTACGCCCGTGTGTACCACTGGGTCTCTCGTGTACGCCACATCGCCGAGGATGCCCGCTACAACTCTTTTTTCATTCTCCAACACCTTCTCTGGGTGACCATCATTGCATGGGCCAACCAGATGGCGGTGGCCTCGGGTGGGTTAGTGGTGCTGCCCGCCAGCGTGCAGCAGCGGAACTCAACGGTACCATCTGCGGCTGATGCTGGGTCGTCAGGGCTCATGTCTTTTCGTTGCTCGTTGCTCGCACCGTTAACCTTCTGGGACCCAGGTCTCCTCGGAGAGGCCACAGGCGGCTCGCCACAAGACAACGACATTGCTACGGAGAATTCCATGAACGTCTCGATGCACCGCACACCAAACCTACGAGTTGTGTGGGCTGACGCCGTACAACGCATTATCGCAGTGTGGTGCACGACAACTGCCACGTCATCAAAGTTTCGGTCAGACGCTCAGGCCGACAACTCCGGTTCTGGACCGTCTTTGTCTCCCTCCTCTTCCCCGTCTTCCCTCGCAACTACTGACGGTGTGCGTGCGGCGTCGGCCGGGTTTCACGTGAATAACGCGTACGCGTGGGTGGTCCTCGCTCAGCACTACCATCGCTTCAAAGCCATCTTGGCTCTCTTTTTTCTGCGTTACGACGCGCACGTGGAAGAGATGGAGGAGCTGCGGCGTCGTCCGGGCCAGCAACAGCAGCAACAGTTACGCACGGAAGCGAACGAGTTGTCAGGTGGGGCCTCTGGCTTCCATCCCTTAGCACCGCCGCTGCGACGTCGTGGGCCACATTTGCGCGTGTCTTCGGATGTGAGTGGTTCTTCGACGTTGTCTACTGCGGCAAGAACGGCAGCGACGGGCAGAAACCACCGCAGCGGTGGCGACGCGAGGCTGAACGACGAGCGCACTTCAGATGATCGAACGCCGATGACGGCGACTGCGTCGAATCGGTCCTCTCCCCCACTGCCTACCACTGCCCGTTTGCTCGCGCTCATTATGCGCAACATCGAGACAGAGAACATCAACGCTATCACGGAGGCAACAGGAGAGACGCTCATTTTGTTGTTCATGCCGCCGGTGCACCGCGCGCGTCTTCACGAGAAACTGGTGAGATCGCAGCAGAAACAGGGGAGTTTCGGAGGTACAGACGTGGACGCAGAAGCTAAACGTGACGTACGCGGTGTGCAACAAGGCAAAGAAGATTCGCTGACGGAGCCGGAAAGAATGGTCGGCGTCCTCCTCGACGGCTGCGCGATAGAAGAGGATGATGGCGACGACGACAAGGTGGTGTGGTCGGCGCCGCTGTCGCCGCTGCTCTCCTTCGCAAGCGGCGCCGTGCCGCCCTCGAGTGTTCACCTCACACCTGCGGACGAGCGCGTCTCTCCTGGCAACGCCAATAGCAATGGCGAAATCGACAACAAAAGCGCGGTGATGCGTGTGCCACCTCTCCTTGGACGAGCGCAAAAGGAGGAATATGTGGTTCGCAATATGTTCAAGCTCCTTCTCATGATAGAGGACTGTCGAGTGCATGCGTTACAGAATTGGCTGATGGAAACTGGGAAGCATGTTGTTGCCGTGTATGGTTCCCAACTGGCCTCCTTCTTCTTTGAGGAGCCGAACGCGTTGGATACAAAGTCAAACGAAGACGGGAACGAGAACGAGGACAGCGGTCTCGCGGTGGGAACCGTTTCTACGCCGGCGCTAACAGTCCGCACGTTTGCGGATGCGAATCGGGTTCTGCGTGAGACCATCCAGTCCTACGTGCGCCTGCGGACGAAACTGCTGTTTTTTAATGCCGGCACCACACACTTTCTAGGGGCACTGACGCCGTGGGGGCGGACGTACGTGCTGGAGCACCTTAACGCGTTTCTGTGTGGATTCTGCGGCGTCACCCTACCCTCTTCCTTTCCTTCGAATGCCGATCGCACAACAGACGCGGCGCAGTATTTCACGCCGACCAACGCCGCGGTCGCCACCTTCGCGCGGAGGTGGGCTGTTCCGCTGTGGCTTGCTATGTGCGAGGACGCGCAGCATCGCCTCGATGCCCTGAAAAAGTCAAAGCAGAAGGGGGACGATCAACGCCAGACGGCGACGGCGAAAGCATCAGGGACGGGGACGCCGTCGTCAAGTCAGCGGGTGGCAGCGCAGAATCCTGAAAAAAGGGAAGAAGTGAACAACGCGAAGTCACAACGTGGCGTGCGGAGTGAGGGCCACGGCAGTGCGTCGAAATCGTCCTTGCCTTCTTTTGCTGAGAGGGATAAGAAGGAATTGTCAGCAGGCGAGGTGGCGGGTGTGGGTGAAGAAGCGGAGTTGCGGAGTACGACAGAAGGACAGGAGCTGTCTGTTGCATCTGCCGACTTGGGCGATGCTGTGTCTCGCGCCCCGAGTGAGGCGTGGCCGCCTCCTTCGCTCGCGACAGGACGAAGCGCCACCGGCGGCAGTGGCGGTGGTGGTCGTGGTACACGCAACTTCGCGCATGCGCGCAGTCGTGGCGTAGACATGAGACGTGTCCTACAGCAGCGTCAACGTCAACGTGTGCCACTCGGGTCCGTGTTGCAGCGTCGTCACGCGGACACTGGAGTTAGGAGGGCAGCTCTTCAAGGGGAGTCGAACGGTAGTGACGGTGGGGGACTGGAGAGTCTCGACTCGGCAGAGATGCTTTCCATGGGCGAGACTTCACAATTCCTTGCCGCCACTTCAATGAATGTGACTGCGGAGGGCGGCGCACGCGGCAACGATGACAGCGACGGCACCGCACGGGACGGTGTGAATAGCGAGGCTGGCTCAAACGAAGCGTACCGCGGCGGAGGTGGAGAAATAGGTGTTCCAGCCAACAGCGTCGAAGTGGCAGTCGCTGCCGCACGTCACCGGCGTCGACAAGTTGCAGCGGCAGCGCAGGACCAAGGAACTATTGTTGCCGCCCCCGGCATCACGCCCCGCTTTTCGCGAGCGGAACAGCTTCACCAAGTGGCGACACTGCCCGATGAGGGTTTTCCGAGTCTAACCTACCTCATGCCGCGCCGCAGCCGCTTCATTGCGCAGGACAAGGCCGCTGCCTCGGTACAGCAGAAGTTGTTTACGCGATTCAGCAGCGACGTGCACAACTACCTTACCAGTTTCCTCGCCGACTGTGAGGCATCGGAAGGAGATAAGGAGGGGAATGACGGCGGCAGCGGTACGACGACGGCCGGGAAGACAACAACGGATGCCACCCCCAGAGCGGCGACGGGATCGGACACGAAAGCAAAGAAAAGGAAGGATACAGCGGTCCGCCCAGCTCTAAAGGAAGACGTGCGACCGCTGCCGCAAGCCATGCTCACACGCATGATCTTCCTGCTCGACATGACCTACGCCGCTCTGCAGGGCAGCGACCACGGCGACGCCAAGGGTCCGTTGATGGAAACCGGACTCACAGCCACAGGTCAGGAACTCGGCGTCTCCATCTTGGAGCAGGACAATGGCGAGTACGAGAGCGTCGTGTCCACCACCTTGTCCGCGCCGACCTCACCAGCCATCCTGACCATCGCCGCGGTTCGAAAGGGGTTTCAGGGATTCTTCGCTACAAACGAAAAACGCGCGGCGCTGACGCTGGCGCAGGCGCTCTACGGCCTGATTCAGCAAGGGATTGCCCGGCAGCCACCCACGGTGTCTGTCGAAGCCGTTGACACGATCCTGAACATGGCCTCGTTGCTAAGCTCGAAGGACATGTTTGTGTCCTTGATGAAGGGCTACATCGCACCATCGGTGATGATGTGTCGCTTGCTGAGCGATACTGCGGTGGAATCGCAGGTAGTGGCGCGCATGGCGTACCGCCTGGGATCTGCTGTGGCGGCACCGTGCCTGACGCTCCTACGCGATCTGCGACTGGCGGCATCAGACCCCCTCAACGCAGTAAGTGAGCCGCTCTCTCTGGCTGGCGAGGGCGAAGATGGAATGGGAGAGAGGGGACAAGAGAGCCACGCAAACTACCACAACACTGATTCAAAGCGTAGCGGCATAATAGTGAAGGACGCGCAGCGCGTCGCCACGCGTGAGGTTCAAATGCTCGCCGCCGCTGGTTCTTTGCGCCGCGGCTCCTTCGGTCTTATTCACCGCGTGCGTGTCCTCTGTCAGGCGTGGTGGCAGCCGCACACCGCCGTCCTCCTCTCCTCCCGCACGCTGCAGCGGCTCTGGGAGCGCTACCAGCTGCTAGATGAACGCATCATCGACGCCGTCCTGCGTGTGGAGTGGCGCTACGAGGGACACACGGAGCCGTTCTACGGCTACGGCCGCATTGCCGGCGACGCAGAAGTCAACGAGGGTGACACAGACGATGACGGTCGAAGTCGGGGTGGTGTATCGAAAGGGGAACACGCGCGCTCCGGCAGCAGTGGTGCTAGTATTCGGGGCACTGCGTCTGCCACCGCCGCCAACGTGCTGAGCGGTGGCACCGCAGCCGCCGTGATCCAGGGCTTCTCGTCGGCGCTGAGCAATGCTGTGCGTCGCACCCGGCACCACGCCGGCGCCTTCGGCAACAACGAGTCGGACAACGAGTCGGAGGACTACAGTGAAGCCTATGGCGGCCTCCTGACGCTGAACACGCTGCAGCAGCACCGCGGCGCCTACGTTGCGTCGAACTCCTCGCATCGGGGCAGCAACGTCTCCTCGATGGGCGGTGGCGGCGGCGCGGGAGCGGGGGAGCGCTGGGACATCTCCGACGGGGGCCAGAGCACCGCAGTCGACGAAGCCGCCTCCACAACGGTGCCGCCCGATGGGGAGCGGGAGCGGCGGCAGCTGCGGTGGCCACTCGGTGACGGCAAGCTCGTCTTTCTCCTCTACCCGAAAGGAAGCTCCACAGTCACCGCCGCATCGCAGGCGGTGCAGATCACCGGGCCTCCCCTCACATTGCTTGTGTGCCAACTGATGGATCGCGTCGCCGAGAACCCCTACACGTTTGACAAACTCCACAAGGCGTTGCCAGCGCAGTCGCCGAAGCCGCTGCTCGCCCACTTGCTGCACGAGCTAGTGAAGGCGGGCGTCGTGACGCGCAGTGTTCCCGCTGGCAAACGGCAGTATATCTACCAGCTCCGCGCCGACGTCCAGCGAGTGCATCAGCGAAAGGTGGTGATAGACATTCATGCCGCGGCACAGCAGCAGTGGATCGTGCGTACGTTAACGGCCGCCGAGCCGGATGCTGATGAGGACGCCGATCGCCGGAGTCAGCGTGACCCGATGTCTCCTGCGAACCCATCTGGTGCGAATCCGTCCTTCTCTTCTACCACTGCACACGGTGCGCGTAGTTCGTCTGTTGCATCCTATCATGCTGAAGCGTCAGGTAACGCTGCGGGCGCGCGAGCCGGCGGCGCGACAACAAGAGCAGCAGCAGCAGCTACAACGGAGCAAAGCTCTGCCGCCTGTTTGACCGATCGCACGCACAAGATCAAAGTGTGCATCGTGCGCATCATGAAAGCGGAACGGGTGCTGCCCCACCGTGAGCTGCTGGAACGCGTTGCGGCCGCCTTGGAGGACCAATTTGTGGTGACCACCGCTCAGTTTAAGCGGTGCGTGGCGCACCTCCTCGAAAAGGAATTTCTGCAACGCAGCGATGACGGTGCCGAGTACATGTACTCGTCGTAGGACTGACAGAAGGATTCGTGACGGTGAAGAACTCAAATGAAAGCAAATGTCGATAGAAGAATTGATTCAAATATGTATTGGTGTTTTTTGGGGGGTTTCCTTTGACGACTCTTGATTCCTTTCTAGAAGTGTTGCGACTCAGCGTCTCAGTCACTTTCTCTGCTGATGTGGGCCTTTCCTGTTTCTTCGGAGTACCGGAAATCTATTTCTATAGGAGGAAATAGCGCGTTGTTGCAAAGAAAAATGAGCTGCTAGCGAAAACAGGCCGCTTCATTTTTTGTTTTTCGTATTCCTGCGAAACACGCTTTTCACCGCATTCACAAGCTGAAAGCCTTTCGGCGACCTTTCTTCAATGAGGAAGCATCTCCATCATCACTGTTGGTCCTTTGTAACTCTCCGCTTTTTTTTTTGTGAGCCTGCGAGGGGAATGGAAGGGACGGAAAAAATGAGTTGAATGTGATTGGCAGCGGAGAGATTGGCGGATCTCGGTCATTTAGGGTAATGCTCTAAACTATCTTCTCCTTTTCTATTACCTCCTGAATCCTGGTTCTTCCGTATTCTGGTTTGCCTGGCACAGTTGTTTTCAGCATCGAGAGAAACTCCGGTTTTTCGCTGAAATCCACCCGCCCACCCCCGGTCCCTCCCACGACAGGGACCCATGGGATCCTTAAAAAGATCCATGATTTTTGTTTTCCTTGCACTTCGTAAAGCGATACTCTCTGAGAAAAAGTCCGACGACAAACACGACAGATAAAGAAGAACGGAATTGGGGCAGATACTAGATAGTGAAGAAACAATGAGTAGCCTTGATGGGGACATTGATGCCAGGTACTCGCTAGTTATGTATTTCCCTAAATGCCGTGCAATCACTTCGACTCTTGACTTCCTATCCTTCTTATTCTCTCATTTTTTCCCATCCACTGTGTTACGTGTGTTTCTATTCCGACATCGCTTTTACGCTACCTCTTTGACTTTCATTCCCACTTCACTGTACCAGCCTTTGTTCTCTTGCCCTCTTTTCTTATTATTTTTCAGTTTCTTTCGTTTCTCATTGGCGTACTGCTGAATCATCAAGTTCTTCGTTATCACTCTTCTCTTCGTGATCGTGCTGCGGCGACCCTACCAACTTCTGTTTCTCGCGGAAAACGATTTTGTGCGTCGTTAGACTACCTCTTCCACCAACATCATTCACTTAACTTCTGTTTTTTCCCCCGTTAATCAACGCTCCTTCAATCGAGTGCCATTATCATTACAGAAAACAAAACCCTTTTGAAGCGCGCCTGCACCACACTCCACCATGCCCGCCAAGCCACTGAAGAGCTACATGGAGGAGCTGTCCAAGTACATGGACGCCTTTACCTCCGCAGCTGGCAAGCCGCAGCGTGTCGACGTTGTCGGCGATCGCGTGTACTGGACGCAGGGCAAGCAGCAGGAGCTGTTTTCGGCCCCCGTCAGCGCCGGTGCAGGCGAAGTGGTGCGTGTGATTGCCTCCGAAAAAGCGAAAGAGGACAACGGAGCAGAGGAGGAGAAGCTCACCAAGGAGGAGGAGATGCTGCGGGAGCGCCTGCGCACTCGCACCACCGGCATCTCCAGCTTCCGCGTCCGAGAGAGCGACGGGGCGGTCTTCTACACCAGCGGCGTGGACGTGTACGTATATTACCAGCACGGCCCGCGCGCCGGCAAGGCGCCCATCAAGATCTTTGACTACCTCTCCGAAGAGGACAAGGCGCACTTTCAGGCCATGGGAGGGAAGCCGAATCTTTTTGTGGAGCCGATCAAGTCGTTTGACGCGTCGCACCCCAGCGACTATTCTGTCGTGACCTTTGTGAACAACAACAACGTTTACAAGGCTACCATCACGGAGCGTCCCGCCGATGAAGCCGCCCCGCTGTCGGTGGCCGTGCAGCAGATCACGCACATCGGTGACGACCTGCACCAGTGCGGCGTGGCCGACTACATCATTCAGGAGGAGTTTGCCCGCTACACCGGCCACTACGCCACGGATCGCTACGTTGTCTTCTCGTACATCGAATCGACGCACATGCGCTCCGTCGCGCTGCTGAAGAGCGTGGGGTCGCCCGACGTGCCGCCTGAGGAGCCGGCGAAGCCGTCCTACGCGACGGACGTAGAGGAGATGCCGTACTCCCGCGTCGGCGACCCCAACGCGCGCACGACACTGGTCGTCTACGACGGTGAGACGAAGCAGATGCGCCTGCTGCCTGAGGCCGCCCTCCGCAACGTGGCCCCATGGACGGAGTACATCCTGCGCTTCGGCTTCAAGGATGCGGAGACGCTCTACGTGTCCGTCATCGACCGTGTGCAGGAGCAGTACACCGTGCTGAGCTGCCCCATTTCCGCCCTCCCTGTGATCGGCTCCGAGGAGGACCTGCGTGCGCTCTACCGCGAGAAGGACTGCAAGACGGTGGCCAACATCGTCGGCGACGCCGCCGTGCCGCCGCTGCGCGTAGAGTGGGCGCAGCGCATCGACTTCGCCTGGGTGGAGTGTCAGGCCGGGGCGCCGATGCACTACGGCAGGGAGTACGACGTGCTGTGCCGCCACGCTGCGGAGACGGCGACGGCACACTACCACCTCTACGCCCGTCCAGCGAGGGCCGCCGGGGCAGACGCGTGGAGGCCGCTGACGGCCGGGGCATGGAACGTGCGGGCGGGTCTGCAGCAGATCGACGACAACCGCGTGTACTTTCTGGCGAATGCCGAGGGACGTCTGAAGCAGGTTTTGTACGCCATCCCCCTCTCTCTCGAGCAGGCGCCGCACACGGCCGAGAATCTGGCACGCCTTACCCCGCTCAACGAGTACGTCTACAGCTACCGCGTCAAGGGCGACCACTTCTTCTACGTCTCTAGCACCCCGTCCACGCCGGCGAAGCTGTACGCGGCGCGCGTGTCGACGCCCGAGCAGCGGAGGGAAATCGTCGTGCCGTCGTGGGTGCCGGCGGTGAAGGGTTGCGACCCGGCTGCGACGGCGGACACAACGAGGTACTTTGCTGGTCTGCCGATCGTCACGCCGCACGTCGTGACCGTCACGAGCCGACGCGGTGTTCCGCTGAGCGCGTCCGTGTTTGTTGCGCCAAGCGCGCCGAAAGGTGTGCCTGGGCCGCTGGCTGTCTCCATCTACGGCGGCCCGCACGTCCAGCTGGTCTACGGCGACGACTACGACAGCATCTGCAAGGCGCCGGTGCAGGTGCTCCTCCAGCACGGCATCTCCGTAGCGGTGGTCGACAACCAGATGAGCAACGCCAACGGGCTGCGTGACATGAGCATCTGCAAGAAGAACATGGGCAGCTTCGAGACGGATGATTACGTGGACGTGACCAACTACTTGTGCTCCTCCACGCCGGCGGAGAGTGGTCTACCCGAGAGCTTCAAAGTGGATGCGAGGCGCGTCGCCATCTTTGGCTGGTCCTACGGCGGCTACGCCACATTGTTGGCCATGTGCCAGGCGGCCGACGTGTTCAAGATCGGCTTCGCAGGCGCGCCGGTGGGGGACTGGAAGCTGTACGACACCGGCTACACGGAGCGCTACATGGGCACACTGTACGAGGACGGCGAGGACGGCACGCGCAAGGTGAATGCGGCGTACATGACGTCGACCATCGGGCACTACGCGGCGGGATTTCCGGAGGAGTGCAACCGCCTCTATATTGCGCACGGGCTACTCGATGAAAACGTGCACTTTGCCAACAGCTGTCACGTGGTGAAGGCGCTGATTGAACACGCGAAGCCGTACAATATGCTGGTGTACCCCGGTGAGCGTCACGCCTTGCGCCAGAATCGGCAGTCTCGTCTGCATCACGACGCGTTGCTGGTGAAAACACTAGAGGAGCAATTGTAAGAGCCACGGGGTGAGGCACTTCAACGATGGTGCACTGTTGCATCCTGTCATCTTTTGGTGTGTGCTTGGTGCGTTTCTTCCTTTCCTTGTTTGCCTGATTGCATCAGCTTTTCCTTTTTTATTATTGTTTTTTATCGCTGTTCTCTCTGGTGCGTATCCTTTATACACCTTTCGTTCCTCTATATACATGCCGTGTCCAATGCCTATCAATAGCGCTACTGGTGCGTTCCTATCATGCTTAACGTAAACACACAAACACAGAAATAAAAAGCTCTCCTCAATGACAACATGCAGCAAAAACTGGGGGAGGGGGTAATCTCGCTTTCTTTCGTCGTTCCTGCTTGGCCAACCTTGGATCACTTTCCAGTTTCCCTTAACTTCACTGTTATCGCAATTGATCGATCACGAATCGGCATTGTCTTGTTTTCTTTTTATGTTTTGAAGTCGTCGCATGTATGTGTGCCTCACGACAAAAACCGTCTTTTCCCCGCTTTCACGAATGTCGTTTCGGCGTGCAACGTGGAATGGGTGTGTGTTTGTCGCCTCGCCCCCATCTTCTGCGCACCGCCGTCCGATCCATTCTCCGCCACCCTCCCTCGTCTTCATCTTTCGTTTCGCTATACGCCTCTCTGCCGCTCTGCACCACACATCATCCCTCAGATGAGTTCCCAAAGAAAAATGATGCTCTGCAAGCTAGTGAGCATCAAGACGCGCTCACACAGAGAGAGAGAGAGAAATGATGATCGTGGGGTCCACGACACGCCTCTGTCATGTGCGCGGCGTCACACCCGTGCACACGCGCTCACACCAAGAGTCATTCGCGGACGGTGCCGCGCCGCTGGTAGCGCCACTGGCACACACCCGGGGCGTCCCCCCTGCGCCGGCCCACCCATGGGACGGCGTGGGTAGTCCCACCTCCGCACACGCAAGTGGACACGCACCACTGCGTGCCTCCCTGCTGCACGTCGCACACACACATACATCCGCACACGTCGGCGCGCTCACCCGCGTCCACATCGCCGCGCACCACCGCAGCGGCGTCCACCGACGCACACACGCGCACGCCGTCGCGCCTTCACGCGCGCGCGCGCACCCTGCCCACCGCTGCGGCGGGCGACGCAAAGAAGAACAACACAGGGGGCCCCAAGCAAACCCGTTGCACCCTCCCTTCTCCGTCTCCCCCCGCAGCCGCACTCGACGCCGCGTGTCCGCTTCGGCTGGGCACGCGGCCCACCGCGCACACGACCGACTGCTCCATTGGGGCGCCGTCCGCACACCTCGTGCGTGCACGGGTCCCGAGCGAAAGTCCCTCGCCCACATACGCGCGCCGCAACACGCACACGCTGCTGTGCGGCGCTGGCAGCAAGTGCCGGGTGCCGGGGTCAACCCCATCGACTGCTACGTCACAATGGCACCGCCGTACACACCCGCTGCTCGCACGTCGGGCAGCGGGGCCACCGACTGCCGCGGTACGGCTCCCCCTCGACAGCGAAGGGTTGGGAGTCTGTATCTCCGCGCCGGTCCCTCGTGGGCTGGTGTGCGGGTGATCCTGCGGCAGAAGCTATCCGTGCGCACCGCGCCACACCCAACAGCACGCCTTCGTGTGTGCCGCTGCGTGTCCGGCGTGTGGTGCGTGCGGTCACGGGCGGCGCACTCGCCGTGCATCCACCCCCCTCCCGCGTGCGTGTGTGTCTGTGCTTGCACACGCGCGCACGCACGCACCGGATGTGAATGGGGCGTGTCCGCACGCTCCACGGCGAGACTCGTGCCACGCACGGGTGTGCTGCGCCAGCCTCCCCACTCGGTGGTCTTTGCGCAACGTTGGGCTACACATACATGCGCGGCGGAGCGCGGTGCCTCGTGTGCCGCTCCTTCCTGTCGTGCTTAAAACACCGTACAGCCATGAGCAGCTGGCGGACGGGCAGGCTGCCGCGCCAGTCGCGGTGGCCGCCACGCCATGCAGAAGAGGGCTTATTCACGCCACGTAGCGAGACCAATCACCGTCATGACGACGCGGTGGTGCGCGCTGTTGCAGCCGTCCGTCGCACGTGGTGAGTGGTGCTCTGCGCGTGCTGCGCCGCGTTGGTGCTCTGTGTGTGCGCATGTGTGCTGGGTGCTGTTGTGGTGACTGTGTGGTGCTGTAGATGGCGTGTGTACTGCGCCGTCACTGTGCTTGTGTGTGCTGTTGTGTGCTTCTCAGTGCCTGCAGGCGCACGTTGGCGCGTCTTCGTTGCGTGTGCCGCCGTGGCCGCACGTGCGTCTGTGAGCTTGCTCTCGCAGGTCTCCGCACGCGCCGCAGCAATGCCTGTCCGGCGGCGTCCTCTCCGAAGCACCGCGAGGCGGGCCCTCTGCGTCGTGTATCGATATTCCCCTCCCCTGCCCTACCGCAGCTGATCTCTCTCTCTCTCTCTCTCTCCTCTTTATGCCTCTCTTCGGTTGCTTCGTGGTCTGCTATTCTAGAAGAATACGTCGTAGTGGCGTGCTTGGCACGTGGCGGAGGTCTTGCTGTGTTTCTCAGAGGTCACTGGGACCCGAGTTGTGGTTTCTCTTCACATCTTGATATTTGCCCTCCAACCGGTCAATGTTTTCCTCTCTCTCCTAGTCTTCTCTTCACTTCTTCATTTCTTCGCCGCTTTTGTAGAGAACTGCCCAGGGGTGTTTAGTCCGTATACCCCTTCGTTGTGTTCTGCACGCTAGTGAGCATCAAGACGCGCTCACACAGAGAGAGAGAGAGAAATGATGATCGTGGGGTCCACGACACGCCTCTGTCATGTGCGCGGCGTCACACCCGTGCACACGCGCTCACACCAAGAGTCATTCGCGGACGGTGCCGCGCCGCTGGTAGCGCCACTGGCACACACCCGGGGCGTCCCCCCTGCGCCGGCCCACCCATGGGACGGCGTGGGTAGTCCCACCTCCGCACACGCAAGTGGACACGCACCACTGCGTGCCTCCCTGCTGCACGTCGCACACACACATACATCCGCACACGTCGGCGCGCTCACCCGCGTCCACATCGCCGCGCACCACCGCAGCGGCGTCCACCGACGCACACACGCGCACGCCGTCGCGCCTTCACGCGCGCGCGCGCACCCTGCCCACCGCTGCGGCGGGCGACGCAAAGAAGAACAACACAGGGGGCCCCAAGCAAACCCGTTGCACCCTCCCTTCTCCGTCTCCCCCCGCAGCCGCACTCGACGCCGCGTGTCCGCTTCGGCTGGGCACGCGGCCCACCGCGCACACGACCGACTGCTCCATTGGGGCGCCGTCCGCACACCTCGTGCGTGCACGGGTCCCGAGCGAAAGTCCCTCGCCCACATACGCGCGCCGCAACACGCACACGCTGCTGTGCGGCGCTGGCAGCAAGTGCCGGGTGCCGGGGTCAACCCCATCGACTGCTACGTCACAATGGCACCGCCGTACACACCCGCTGCTCGCACGTCGGGCAGCGGGGCCACCGACTGCCGCGGTACGGCTCCCCCTCGACAGCGAAGGGTTGGGAGTCTGTATCTCCGCGCCGGTCCCTCGTGGGCTGGTGTGCGGGTGATCCTGCGGCAGAAGCTATCCGTGCGCACCGCGCCACACCCAACAGCACGCCTTCGTGTGTGCCGCTGCGTGTCCGGCGTGTGGTGCGTGCGGTCACGGGCGGCGCACTCGCCGTGCATCCACCCCCCTCCCGCGTGCGTGTGTGTCTGTGCTTGCACACGCGCGCACGCACGCACCGGATGTGAATGGGGCGTGTCCGCACGCTCCACGGCGAGACTCGTGCCACGCACGGGTGTGCTGCGCCAGCCTCCCCACTCGGTGGTCTTTGCGCAACGTTGGGCTACACATACATGCGCGGCGGAGCGCGGTGCCTCGTGTGCCGCTCCTTCCTGTCGTGCTTAAAACACCGTACAGCCATGAGCAGCTGGCGGACGGGCAGGCTGCCGCGCCAGTCGCGGTGGCCGCCACGCCATGCAGAAGAGGGCTTATTCACGCCACGTAGCGAGACCAATCACCGTCATGACGACGCGGTGGTGCGCGCTGTTGCAGCCGTCCGTCGCACGTGGTGAGTGGTGCTCTGCGCGTGCTGCGCCGCGTTGGTGCTCTGTGTGTGCGCATGTGTGCTGGGTGCTGTTGTGGTGACTGTGTGGTGCTGTAGATGGCGTGTGTACTGCGCCGTCACTGTGCTTGTGTGTGCTGTTGTGTGCTTCTCAGTGCCTGCAGGCGCACGTTGGCGCGTCTTCGTTGCGTGTGCCGCCGTGGCCGCACGTGCGTCTGTGAGCTTGCTCTCGCAGGTCTCCGCACGCGCCGCAGCAATGCCTGTCCGGCGGCGTCCTCTCCGAAGCACCGCGAGGCGGGCCCTCTGCGTCGTGTATCGATATTCCCCTCCCCTGCCCTACCGCAGCTGATCTCTCTCTCTCTCTCTCTCTCCTCTTTATGCCTCTCTTCGGTTGCTTCGTGGTCTGCTATTCTAGAAGAATACGTCGTAGTGGCGTGCTTGGCACGTGGCGGAGGTCTTGCTGTGTTTCTCAGAGGTCACTGGGACCCGAGTTGTGGTTTCTCTTCACATCTTGATATTTGCCCTCCAACCGGTCAATGTTTTCCTCTCTCTCCTAGTCTTCTCTTCACTTCTTCATTTCTTCGCCGCTTTTGTAGAGAACTGCCCAGGGGTGTTTAGTCCGTATACCCCTTCGTTGTGTTCTGCACGCTAGTGAGCATCAAGACGCGCTCACACAGAGAGAGAGAGAGAAATGATGATCGTGGGGTCCACGACACGCCTCTGTCATGTGCGCGGCGTCACACCCGTGCACACGCGCTCACACCAAGAGTCATTCGCGGACGGTGCCGCGCCGCTGGTAGCGCCACTGGCACACACCCGGGGCGTCCCCCCTGCGCCGGCCCACCCATGGGACGGCGTGGGTAGTCCCACCTCCGCACACGCAAGTGGACACGCACCACTGCGTGCCTCCCTGCTGCACGTCGCACACACACATACATCCGCACACGTCGGCGCGCTCACCCGCGTCCACATCGCCGCGCACCACCGCAGCGGCGTCCACCGACGCACACACGCGCACGCCGTCGCGCCTTCACGCGCGCGCGCGCACCCTGCCCACCGCTGCGGCGGGCGACGCAAAGAAGAACAACACAGGGGGCCCCAAGCAAACCCGTTGCACCCTCCCTTCTCCGTCTCCCCCCGCAGCCGCACTCGACGCCGCGTGTCCGCTTCGGCTGGGCACGCGGCCCACCGCGCACACGACCGACTGCTCCATTGGGGCGCCGTCCGCACACCTCGTGCGTGCACGGGTCCCGAGCGAAAGTCCCTCGCCCACATACGCGCGCCGCAACACGCACACGCTGCTGTGCGGCGCTGGCAGCAAGTGCCGGGTGCCGGGGTCAACCCCATCGACTGCTACGTCACAATGGCACCGCCGTACACACCCGCTGCTCGCACGTCGGGCAGCGGGGCCACCGACTGCCGCGGTACGGCTCCCCCTCGACAGCGAAGGGTTGGGAGTCTGTATCTCCGCGCCGGTCCCTCGTGGGCTGGTGTGCGGGTGATCCTGCGGCAGAAGCTATCCGTGCGCACCGCGCCACACCCAACAGCACGCCTTCGTGTGTGCCGCTGCGTGTCCGGCGTGTGGTGCGTGCGGTCACGGGCGGCGCACTCGCCGTGCATCCACCCCCCTCCCGCGTGCGTGTGTGTCTGTGCTTGCACACGCGCGCACGCACGCACCGGATGTGAATGGGGCGTGTCCGCACGCTCCACGGCGAGACTCGTGCCACGCACGGGTGTGCTGCGCCAGCCTCCCCACTCGGTGGTCTTTGCGCAACGTTGGGCTACACATACATGCGCGGCGGAGCGCGGTGCCTCGTGTGCCGCTCCTTCCTGTCGTGCTTAAAACACCGTACAGCCATGAGCAGCTGGCGGACGGGCAGGCTGCCGCGCCAGTCGCGGTGGCCGCCACGCCATGCAGAAGAGGGCTTATTCACGCCACGTAGCGAGACCAATCACCGTCATGACGACGCGGTGGTGCGCGCTGTTGCAGCCGTCCGTCGCACGTGGTGAGTGGTGCTCTGCGCGTGCTGCGCCGCGTTGGTGCTCTGTGTGTGCGCATGTGTGCTGGGTGCTGTTGTGGTGACTGTGTGGTGCTGTAGATGGCGTGTGTACTGCGCCGTCACTGTGCTTGTGTGTGCTGTTGTGTGCTTCTCAGTGCCTGCAGGCGCACGTTGGCGCGTCTTCGTTGCGTGTGCCGCCGTGGCCGCACGTGCGTCTGTGAGCTTGCTCTCGCAGGTCTCCGCACGCGCCGCAGCAATGCCTGTCCGGCGGCGTCCTCTCCGAAGCACCGCGAGGCGGGCCCTCTGCGTCGTGTATCGATATTCCCCTCCCCTGCCCTACCGCAGCTGATCTCTCTCTCTCTCTCTCTCTCCTCTTTATGCCTCTCTTCGGTTGCTTCGTGGTCTGCTATTCTAGAAGAATACGTCGTAGTGGCGTGCTTGGCACGTGGCGGAGGTCTTGCTGTGTTTCTCAGAGGTCACTGGGACCCGAGTTGTGGTTTCTCTTCACATCTTGATATTTGCCCTCCAACCGGTCAATGTTTTCCTCTCTCTCCTAGTCTTCTCTTCACTTCTTCATTTCTTCGCCGCTTTTGTAGAGAACTGCCCAGGGGTGTTTAGTCCGTATACCCCTTCGTTGTGTTCTGCACGCTAGTGAGCATCAAGACGCGCTCACACAGAGAGAGAGAGAGAAATGATGATCGTGGGGTCCACGACACGCCTCTGTCATGTGCGCGGCGTCACACCCGTGCACACGCGCTCACACCAAGAGTCATTCGCGGACGGTGCCGCGCCGCTGGTAGCGCCACTGGCACACACCCGGGGCGTCCCCCCTGCGCCGGCCCACCCATGGGACGGCGTGGGTAGTCCCACCTCCGCACACGCAAGTGGACACGCACCACTGCGTGCCTCCCTGCTGCACGTCGCACACACACATACATCCGCACACGTCGGCGCGCTCACCCGCGTCCACATCGCCGCGCACCACCGCAGCGGCGTCCACCGACGCACACACGCGCACGCCGTCGCGCCTTCACGCGCGCGCGCGCACCCTGCCCACCGCTGCGGCGGGCGACGCAAAGAAGAACAACACAGGGGGCCCCAAGCAAACCCGTTGCACCCTCCCTTCTCCGTCTCCCCCCGCAGCCGCACTCGACGCCGCGTGTCCGCTTCGGCTGGGCACGCGGCCCACCGCGCACACGACCGACTGCTCCATTGGGGCGCCGTCCGCACACCTCGTGCGTGCACGGGTCCCGAGCGAAAGTCCCTCGCCCACATACGCGCGCCGCAACACGCACACGCTGCTGTGCGGCGCTGGCAGCAAGTGCCGGGTGCCGGGGTCAACCCCATCGACTGCTACGTCACAATGGCACCGCCGTACACACCCGCTGCTCGCACGTCGGGCAGCGGGGCCACCGACTGCCGCGGTACGGCTCCCCCTCGACAGCGAAGGGTTGGGAGTCTGTATCTCCGCGCCGGTCCCTCGTGGGCTGGTGTGCGGGTGATCCTGCGGCAGAAGCTATCCGTGCGCACCGCGCCACACCCAACAGCACGCCTTCGTGTGTGCCGCTGCGTGTCCGGCGTGTGGTGCGTGCGGTCACGGGCGGCGCACTCGCCGTGCATCCACCCCCCTCCCGCGTGCGTGTGTGTCTGTGCTTGCACACGCGCGCACGCACGCACCGGATGTGAATGGGGCGTGTCCGCACGCTCCACGGCGAGACTCGTGCCACGCACGGGTGTGCTGCGCCAGCCTCCCCACTCGGTGGTCTTTGCGCAACGTTGGGCTACACATACATGCGCGGCGGAGCGCGGTGCCTCGTGTGCCGCTCCTTCCTGTCGTGCTTAAAACACCGTACAGCCATGAGCAGCTGGCGGACGGGCAGGCTGCCGCGCCAGTCGCGGTGGCCGCCACGCCATGCAGAAGAGGGCTTATTCACGCCACGTAGCGAGACCAATCACCGTCATGACGACGCGGTGGTGCGCGCTGTTGCAGCCGTCCGTCGCACGTGGTGAGTGGTGCTCTGCGCGTGCTGCGCCGCGTTGGTGCTCTGTGTGTGCGCATGTGTGCTGGGTGCTGTTGTGGTGACTGTGTGGTGCTGTAGATGGCGTGTGTACTGCGCCGTCACTGTGCTTGTGTGTGCTGTTGTGTGCTTCTCAGTGCCTGCAGGCGCACGTTGGCGCGTCTTCGTTGCGTGTGCCGCCGTGGCCGCACGTGCGTCTGTGAGCTTGCTCTCGCAGGTCTCCGCACGCGCCGCAGCAATGCCTGTCCGGCGGCGTCCTCTCCGAAGCACCGCGAGGCGGGCCCTCTGCGTCGTGTATCGATATTCCCCTCCCCTGCCCTACCGCAGCTGATCTCTCTCTCTCTCTCTCTCTCCTCTTTATGCCTCTCTTCGGTTGCTTCGTGGTCTGCTATTCTAGAAGAATACGTCGTAGTGGCGTGCTTGGCACGTGGCGGAGGTCTTGCTGTGTTTCTCAGAGGTCACTGGGACCCGAGTTGTGGTTTCTCTTCACATCTTGATATTTGCCCTCCAACCGGTCAATGTTTTCCTCTCTCTCCTAGTCTTCTCTTCACTTCTTCATTTCTTCGCCGCTTTTGTAGAGAACTGCCCAGGGGTGTTTAGTCCGTATACCCCTTCGTTGTGTTCTGCACGCTAGTGAGCATCAAGACGCGCTCACACAGAGAGAGAGAGAGAAATGATGATCGTGGGGTCCACGACACGCCTCTGTCATGTGCGCGGCGTCACACCCGTGCACACGCGCTCACACCAAGAGTCATTCGCGGACGGTGCCGCGCCGCTGGTAGCGCCACTGGCACACACCCGGGGCGTCCCCCCTGCGCCGGCCCACCCATGGGACGGCGTGGGTAGTCCCACCTCCGCACACGCAAGTGGACACGCACCACTGCGTGCCTCCCTGCTGCACGTCGCACACACACATACATCCGCACACGTCGGCGCGCTCACCCGCGTCCACATCGCCGCGCACCACCGCAGCGGCGTCCACCGACGCACACACGCGCACGCCGTCGCGCCTTCACGCGCGCGCGCGCACCCTGCCCACCGCTGCGGCGGGCGACGCAAAGAAGAACAACACAGGGGGCCCCAAGCAAACCCGTTGCACCCTCCCTTCTCCGTCTCCCCCCGCAGCCGCACTCGACGCCGCGTGTCCGCTTCGGCTGGGCACGCGGCCCACCGCGCACACGACCGACTGCTCCATTGGGGCGCCGTCCGCACACCTCGTGCGTGCACGGGTCCCGAGCGAAAGTCCCTCGCCCACATACGCGCGCCGCAACACGCACACGCTGCTGTGCGGCGCTGGCAGCAAGTGCCGGGTGCCGGGGTCAACCCCATCGACTGCTACGTCACAATGGCACCGCCGTACACACCCGCTGCTCGCACGTCGGGCAGCGGGGCCACCGACTGCCGCGGTACGGCTCCCCCTCGACAGCGAAGGGTTGGGAGTCTGTATCTCCGCGCCGGTCCCTCGTGGGCTGGTGTGCGGGTGATCCTGCGGCAGAAGCTATCCGTGCGCACCGCGCCACACCCAACAGCACGCCTTCGTGTGTGCCGCTGCGTGTCCGGCGTGTGGTGCGTGCGGTCACGGGCGGCGCACTCGCCGTGCATCCACCCCCCTCCCGCGTGCGTGTGTGTCTGTGCTTGCACACGCGCGCACGCACGCACCGGATGTGAATGGGGCGTGTCCGCACGCTCCACGGCGAGACTCGTGCCACGCACGGGTGTGCTGCGCCAGCCTCCCCACTCGGTGGTCTTTGCGCAACGTTGGGCTACACATACATGCGCGGCGGAGCGCGGTGCCTCGTGTGCCGCTCCTTCCTGTCGTGCTTAAAACACCGTACAGCCATGAGCAGCTGGCGGACGGGCAGGCTGCCGCGCCAGTCGCGGTGGCCGCCACGCCATGCAGAAGAGGGCTTATTCACGCCACGTAGCGAGACCAATCACCGTCATGACGACGCGGTGGTGCGCGCTGTTGCAGCCGTCCGTCGCACGTGGTGAGTGGTGCTCTGCGCGTGCTGCGCCGCGTTGGTGCTCTGTGTGTGCGCATGTGTGCTGGGTGCTGTTGTGGTGACTGTGTGGTGCTGTAGATGGCGTGTGTACTGCGCCGTCACTGTGCTTGTGTGTGCTGTTGTGTGCTTCTCAGTGCCTGCAGGCGCACGTTGGCGCGTCTTCGTTGCGTGTGCCGCCGTGGCCGCACGTGCGTCTGTGAGCTTGCTCTCGCAGGTCTCCGCACGCGCCGCAGCAATGCCTGTCCGGCGGCGTCCTCTCCGAAGCACCGCGAGGCGGGCCCTCTGCGTCGTGTATCGATATTCCCCTCCCCTGCCCTACCGCAGCTGATCTCTCTCTCTCTCTCTCTCTCCTCTTTATGCCTCTCTTCGGTTGCTTCGTGGCGCGGTGTTTTCACCTATGTGTTTTGTGTGTGTGCACCGAAAGCGGTGTTCAAAGAAGGTAAGTTGGTCTCGACGGCGTCGGTGCAGTCTCGTTGACAGGCAGCGTAGCGGGAAACTCGCTCTCTTTCAGTACAGGCGTGCTGTAGTTGTTGTGACGTTTGTGTTGAACGTGACGTCACCGACGGTTCTTCTGCGTGGTGCGCTCAAATGGACGTACTGCGATACGTTCCCGCAATGGAACCAGTGTTGTGTGTGTGTGTTTCGTGCGGACTCCACTGCTTTCTGGTCGTCGTCTACCTGCCTTCCCTCTCTCTTCTTTCAGCAGGTGTGTTGTCTCCCAAATCAAGGGAAAAAGCAAAAGACGGCGTTAGGAGCCGCTTTAGTACTTACCTGCGTTGAGGCAAAGTGCCTTCGGTGCCGCTAGCTATTTCTTTTATTATTCCTTATTCTTATTCAAGGCCAGCCTTCACGCGTTAATCCAACGCTCACTCAAAACACTGTGAGGTGACCAGAAGAGAACCGCCGTGCATCATGACATCCCTTCATTTCCTGAGAGAGGATATCAAGGAGGTTTTCAACATCTTCGATGAAGACGCTTCCGGCTCGATCAACATCCAAGAAGTGACGAGAGCCCTTTACACGATCACCGGCGAGCGGGTGGCGCAGTCGGAAGTGTTAAAGCTCATTGCCTACGGGCGCGACGCGGTGACGAGAGAACAGCAAAGGGCACTGGAGAGTCACAAGGCGTCGCAGCAGTCGACAGCATCGGAAGCAGATCCGCAAAGCACCCTTTCACCCCCTGCCGGGCTCGGCAGCCCGGACATTCGACCGCAGAGTAAGAGTCAGGACTTCATGAGCTGCTCCAGCACCCCCCGCCTACAGCCCTCGCACTCCCACCAGCTCGACAGCAGTGAAGGGATTGACATGGAGGTTTTTGAGCAGGTCGTGCTGCGCAAACTGCAGCATCGCAGCTACGAGGAGGAACTCGCCTACACCTTTGCCCTGTTGGAGGACTCAACGTACGCGGGATTCATCACGAAGGAGAGCGTGCGCCGCGCCGCTGCGGAGGCGGGTGAGCCGTTGACGGAGGCGGAGATTGTGGAAATGTTTGACACTGTCGTCACAGGGGCGCCGACGGCAGCGGTAGATTTATCCGCCTTCATAGACCTCCAACTAGCCGCCAGGAAGGCCGAAGACTCATGAGAGGCAAAAAAAATATATACGCCAACCTGCTTCAACAGATGTACATTACTTTGATAAACGTCTTAGGCGTTTTTACTTGTTTTTCCTGTTGTTCTCAGTGTGATGATTTCATTTTGGAACTCCGCGACGCGGAGAAAGGACAGAAAACTTTTATCAACCTCTAAAAACGCTCGCAAACGCATTTGTCTTCTCTTCACACAACTTTGAGTCAATAAATCGATGTGAATGTAAAATAAGCCATTGAAGTGCAAAAATCTGTTCCAACGAAAAGCGACGCTGATGTGCGTCCCAGCGCCTCGATGCGAAAGCTTTGGATTTCGGAATAGTCTCTAATGAGTCATGTCGTTTTACCTCGCCTATTTTTATAGTTCCTCTCGTTACGATCGCTGTCAAAGCGTTAGCGAAGGACTGCCGTGGTCTCTTCCTACCGTCGCCTTACTCCTTTGTTGGTACTTCTCTCCCCGTTGTACTCAAAGCCACCCGCGCCTGTTCAACACATCTTCTCGCTTTAACTCACCTCAGTCACTAATATTGCACTTTTACACATATCATGAGCGCGTCAAGTCAAAAGTGCGCGGTGTGTGGCCGCCCCTTCGGCATGCTGCTGTGGAAGCACACCTGCGATGTTTGCCACCGCACCGTCTGTGACGACTGCGCTCCCCGCAACACGGAGAGCATCGGCCCGAACGGTGAGGCAACGAAGCTGCGTGTGTGCAAGTCATGCGGGACCGCCGGCCGGCGCCTCGGCGGCAGCACCGCCGACAACGACGCCACCGCCAACAAGAAAGACGGCGGTGCCGGACCGGTTCCTACGACGGTCCCTCGCCCCGACCCAAACAGCGAGGAGGAGCGGGCGCGTCGGACGGCCATCATTGAGGCGCGCAACCGGTCGCAGCAAACTCGTGGGTGTCCTCGAGCAGTGGACTCAGCAGGGCAGCGGGCCACGCCCGTGTCGCCGACCCTTCCCGCCCCCTCCCCACCGCCGGCGCCCACGAATGACAGTAATTCGCCCGCCGCCACCGCCACGCTCAGCTCGACTTCGCCGGTTGCTGCCACAACGCAGGAAACGCCTTCGGCGACGATGACGCCGCCAGCGCCGTTGTCGCCGTCCGCCGTGACCAGCGCGGGTCGTCCCACTAACCCGGCTCTTGAAGCAGCGCTGCGACGTCAGCAGCAACAGCAGGCTCGCAGTGGTGCTGCGGCTGCGGCACGGGTGGCCAACACGTCACCCGAAAAGATGCGGTTGTTGCGTGAAATTGACGCCTTGTTGGCAAAGCATCACGAAGAACCGCCCTTTGGTCTGCGTGCGTCGGATGAGGCGAAGTTAAAGAGCTACCTGCAGTACCTGAAAGCGAAGTATCACGAGTCGGAGTAAGTGAATGCGAGGAAGCCCCACACTTTATGTCTGCCGTGGTGTGGGACCTGCTGACGGGTTTCATCATTTTCTTTGCGTTTTTAGTAGCCGCCTTCACAGATGCTGGACTCTTCTGGCTTCTTTGTGGCAGGTCTCTCCAACTATTATTATTTGAGCGAATTCTGTTTTTGGTTCTTTCGTAGCTTTGGTTTGCGTTTTTATTAGCGTTGCTTTGTTTTGAGGCACTGTAATGTTCGCGAGTGGTGCGAAGCGAAGGGGAAAACACAACTTTAATGGTGGGCTACGTAAACGGATAATGTTTGCGAGAGTTTCCCGAGGTCACCAGGAAGTCACACGTGGGTTTGTTCTACGTGTCTTTTGGGGGAGAGTGTCCTGAACGCCGCGGTAATCGGTCTTCATGTAATCATCATAGATGTACAGGATTTTCTTCCCTAGCAACTCCGGTTCTCTTTTTGTGTTGACACGCTGCCGCTTACTCCTCGACCTCTCTTCACTCTTTCCTTGTTCGAATCTTTCCTTTCAAATCCCTCGCCAAAAACGTGGTGATGGTTGCGTTCTGCAGAAGTAGTCCCATTCTAGAGGGAGTACTCCATCACTGGAAGGGCTTCTACGCACCATTCTCTTGTCAACGCGTCTGAACGCTTTTGTTTGTTGCTGTTATTTGTGGTAGCGTTGTGTGGTACCGGGCATCTTGTGTAGTGCTTCATTTGTTTCCTTTTTCTTTTCTTCTATTCCACCCGCTCGATTGTTCCGCCCTTAAACTCGAAGGCGTTTGCGGCGGCTCTGAAACGCGACCCCCACACTGTTGCACCCCGACTCCCATCTCTCTCCCCCTCCCCCACCTCTACAGCGTCTGTCCAACGTCAACGGTGGAGTATGCACAACCTACACACATTATTCGCAAGCTTTGCTTCTGACTCCACTATCATCAGCACATTTTGTTTATTATTATTATTATTATAGTTTCCTGCTTCACTTTACCCCTTCCCAGCATATCGTTACTTCGGTAACAGCGAAACGAGAGAACCACGCGCGCATGTGTGTGTGTGTGTTTGTGTGTGTGCACCACGGTGACACATTTTGGTTCCTCCATTTTAAACATCTTTATTTTTTCTTTTTGATTCATTTCGAGTAGACATAGACGACGTTCGCAAACCTATATATATATATATATATATGTGTGTGTTTATATTTTCCCTCCCTCATTTCTCATTCATTACTCCAGGTTCTATTATTTATCTTCGCTTCTTCACTCAAATTCGTCACGTCTTACGCTGTCGTGTTGAGCGGACAACGCGCGAAAAAATGCAGGATTGGAAGATCGCCGTGCTCGTCGTCATCATTGTCGTGTTTTTGGTGCTCGCGGCGCTGCTTCTCTTCTTGCTCTATCGCTTTGGCAACTGGCGCCGCTTCACACTTCACCGAAAGAAGAAGACGTTACGGTACATTGACGATGTGGAAGAGAACATTATTCGCAACAGGCTGCAGGAAGGGGCAACGGACAGCAGCGACATGTACCAGCAGCTTTTTCTCTACGACCCTCGCCTCCATCCCAGTCCTCATGTGATGTACCTCATCGATTTTCAAGGAGAACTGTTGAGCTTGGACTTTAAGAAGAAGTCGCTGCACAACGTGAAAACGGAGCCGGATCTGCAGCGCTACCTGTTCGACGCCTTCCACCCCACCATTGAGGAGGGCAACAGAGTGACGGCGGTGACGCCAGAGATGCTCGCCCTCTCCTACGTCGATGACCGCCAAGCTCTCGTTGTGCTGGACCTCAACCGTCTTCTTGACCGCGACGCCGAGTTTGGTGCGCGGATGCAGCATACGGCAGAGCGCCCGTTGCTCTTCTCGCGCCTCGTGCCGAACGGCGTGGACGGGTCCGTGTACACCACCCTTACACGCTTCGGCTACTCCGTGGGCGCGCCGCCGTCGATGCGGGTTCGCCCGGATGGCAACTACCTCGTGGCACCTCCGCAAGCCCAACAATCGCAGCAGATTGCGGTGGATGTTGCCGAATCGCGAGCGAATCCGATTGCGCGGATGAATCCGATGGCACGGGCGTCGGCATCGTCCGCCGCCGCCGCGGCAGCGGTGCCGCCGTCGGCGTTTCCGGGAGCGGCGCAGTATCCGCCGCCAACGCACACCACCTCCCTTTATGTGCCAGATGTGCCTGGGATGGCGCCTGCGCCGATCATTCACCCTTGTGGCAGCCACCACATCACGACCAACACGCCCATTACCGTTACGGCGGCAACGTACACGGTGCTGCACAGCAACGGCACGCGCAGTGTTCTCGATGCGGCCAACACGGCTCTCATTGAAAGCGCACGCTTGCAGTGGGACCGCCGTCAGAGCCTCGTGGTAACGCTCGTGTCGGGGAGCTTTACTGGGTATCAGTGCGTAGTGGACCCTGTCACAGAGAACGGCAATCTCTTTCCCCCGCGAGGCGGTGGTGGCTTCGCGGAGCCGATTGTGTGCCAGCGAGCAGACGCACTACAGTACACGGTGGAACGGGTGAACTCGACGCAGTGGCTGCCGGTGGAGAGGGCGTTGTACCTCCCGGGAGGGCGGTGGTGCGTGCGCGCGCGCGCCGTTCTGTACAGCGATGACAGCAGCAAATCCTCCGCAAAGGTGTTCACGGTAAACGTGATGTAAGCCGTGTTTTTTTTTAATACACATATGTCTCCTTGTGTGGTGGTCTGTTGCAAGTTATTCCGAGTTTGTTTGTCTTTTTTTTTGTGGACTGTCACCCATCTTGCCTTGTGGTTCTTATAGGTCTCTCAGAAGCCATCCTTCAGCCTGGGTGTTGCAGCTGACCCTCTCCTCTGGACATATACGTGTGTCTCCTCCCTTTGTATCACGCATTTCATCTTCTTTTCTGTTTGCTTTTAGAATACACGAAAGCCCTCTTTCACATATATGTTGTGTGCCTGTGTGTGTGTGGTGTGTGAGTTTCACTGTTGCACCGCACACGTGCTTCGCACCACTCCATTACCAATATGTTAGACGTTTCTCTTTTTTTTCTCACATTTTTTTTTTTTGATCTCCCCCGTGCGAGTGCAGCCGGGCGAAAGGAAAAATGGGAGACCAAAGAGAAAGAGAAAAGGGCAGCGTACGGAATGCGCAGAGCAGTGAAACTGTCGCCGATACACCGCAACAGTGCCCGTGCAAAAAAAGGTGAAAAAAGACTGTTTCTGGCCTCGCCTCTGACGGTAGGTTCTGCATCTGCAGAGGAACTTCTTTTTTTTTTGCTTGTTTGTTTTTGCGTGTGGGGGCACCGTGTTTTGCCTCAGCCGCATCCAAACCGCTCATCGTTCTCTATAGAGGAAGTAAAACCGTCTCGTCGCAACATCACCGTCTCTCTATCGCTCACTCACTCACTTATCCATCGTTGTCGGTGTCCCTCCCTCTGTGTGTGTGTGTGTGTGTATTGCTCGCATATGCAAATATGAGGGGTTGGAAAGTGAGAAAAGAATAGAAAGAAAATAAGAGAAGTTGTCAAGGGACTGGAAGAGTCGTTTTTATCGTTTAGCCGCCAACAACAACAAAAAAGAATTCATCGGACCACCATCTCCTATTTGTGCCTCCTGTCTGTTTTACCATGCTGGAGGAGTACATCCACACTATCATCACTGCACACGAGGGCCCGGAAGCCGCTGCCCAACGCTGCTGGAAGACCCTGCTGAGCCTGGAGCCAGATAAGTGCGTCGAGCTCTGTGATGAAATCGTGAGCTATTTTGAGTCGTGGCTGAAGAACGATACAGCGCACGACGCGTCCGGCACTTCGGTGAGAGGCGTTTCCCCCACCACCGACTTCCTGGATGTGTACCTGGCAGCCCTCTATGCAATTCTCACAGGATTCGCCACCTCCTTTGCGTGGCGCACTGCCCAGGCGAGTCGCCTCCGTGAGCGCCAGGTCGTCTCACCGGAGTCACGCACCGCATACGGGACGGCTGCGGAGTTCCTCGTACGCATCTGCGAAAACTATTTCCTGCGCACACCCGACGTCGCACAACGGTGCTTCCGGTGCCTGCTTGAAAATACCGGCATGGGGGTACCGTTTCTGTCGGTGGTGTTGAACGCCTACGGCAGCGCCGTGACCGGCGTTCTCGCCATCGCCAACGACGACCTCTCTGCGACGCAGGTTGACCGGTGCCTGCGACATCTTCGTATCGCCTCGGAGGTGTTCGCACTCGCGGACAGCAGCGGGAAAGCGCAACTGACCATTGCACACCCCATTTTTCTCCATGTGGCGCGCGTAAGTGGTCGGGTGCAGGAAGCCCTGCAGTTTTTCCAGCAGCCCGTGCGGTCCGTGAACCCCATCCTCACTGGCGTAGGTCTTGCGGACTACGTAATATACTACGCTGAAGCTGCGTTGGTCCTCGTCTCGCTCGACGCTTACGCCTCCGCCTTCTACGCCCTCACACCGGTGCATAGTTTGCCGCGGGTGCGGGGATTCACCGAGCGGACACGGGGCCGCAGCAATGAGGCGGCAAAAGCGCACTTAACCCCCACCAGGGCCTCTCGCTTTGATCGCAAAGGAGACGCAGACAACGACCCTTTTGCTGCTGCTGCCGCTGCATCCGGTAGTATGCCACGGCAGCAGCAGTCACCTCCAACGGTGCCAAATAAAACAGAGTATTATGTGAGGTTGTATCCTTGGTACCGCACAATGCCGGTCAGCACCACGCACACCTTCTACACCTCCGATTGTTATGCGGAGCGTGCCGGCGAAAAAATGGTAAAGTGGCGGCTCATCCTGTCACCTTCTTCCGCGGAGATCGACTGCGATGAGCAAACACGTGCGTGGGCGATCCGACTGAGTCTGCTGCTGCTGACGCTCGCTTTTGGCGGTGGAAACCCTCGTGAGGTGGAAGAGACTGACATCGTCGCCTCTCAGCCCGACGAGCGTGAAGTGGACTGGAGAGGAATGAACTCCGCTGCTCTACACGGGCACGTGTGCTTTCCAAACACCATTTTTTATAACTTATCGCAGACCACGCGTGTCTCGTTAAACGTACTTCTCGCTGCAGCGGCGAGCAACCCTTCTGCGGAGGTGCAGGTGTACTATGACGTGCTGCGCGCAGTGGCCCAGCGCGACGTGGCACGCGCCCGCGCCGTTCTTGCCTCTTCGTCGGAGACTGTGTTCGCGGCAGACATGACGCTGCACCTCGCACGAGCAGCGGTGGAGCACTACCTGCCCCTTCACATTTTGCTGGATACAGCTCGCATGTACTCCCGTGTGCCGTTGCGTGTTTTAGTCACGCGTACAATGCAAAGTGACGACCACCAAGACGACGTTCATCATGCGCTCGCAGTTTTGCAGCTGCTCGCCGAGCTTTGCGCCACAGGGGAGCTGGAGAACTGTCACGTGTGCACCCCCACCAGCACAAAGACGAGTGCAGCCGACACGGAGGAATCCGTGGGAAGTTTTGTTGTGGCAGTGAGAGACGTTGGACAACGTCCTGTTGCGATCGATGCGACCTCTGTGCTGCTCACGACGCCGCCGGCATCGAAGTGCATTCAACTCTGTGCCCTTGTCGTCTCGCTGCAGCCATTTTCTTGTTGTGGGCGGGTGCAAAACGCGAGCACCGCGAATGCACCCACGGCTTCGTTTCCAGAAATGCTCACGCAGCTTCAGATGCTGCAGCAGGCCGTCGAAGCCGAGCACTCCGCCCTCGCCCTCCTTAACTGAGGCGAAGACTCCACGTAGAGACCCTGCTACGAAACGGGACGAGGTGTCGCCGCGATTAGAAATGTTTTTTTTCCTTATCGGTATTTCTTGTGTGTACTTCGTCGCACAGCTGCATTGCCTTCTCCACACAGTCACTGCTTCTAGGCAGTGGGTGTTCTGGGCATTCACAGTTTTGTCTTTTGAATGCACCTCATCAGTTAAACCGCGGCTCACCTCGGCGCTGTGTCGGAGATCACGATTTCCTTCCCTCTTTCTTTGCACTCTGCTTCGATGTTAAGGTGTGTAAGCTGCTGCAGCACCACAGAAACAGAAAGGCGAGGGAGGCCTGCACCGACAAAGTAGAGAATCTTATGTCACAAGGAGCGCACTCGTTCCCAGGTATTATTTCCACTGAAGTGGCACGCTGTCTTTTTTTGGTGGGGAGGGGAGGTCTTTCCGGAAAACAGTAATTATGGGTGACGTAGAAAGCGACTGCTACATGCGTAGCGCTTTCCTCTCAATAAAATTATGGTACGTGAAGAAGCGACGGTACGGCTTCGCTTTTCCTATCCCTTGCCTTGATGATTGCGGCTGACCTGCTTTTTGATCGAGAGGCAACAAGCAGCTGTTGTGCTGAAGTGGCTCTGTGCAAGCTGCCCATCTTGAGTTTTCTCCTCCTTACTTCTTCTTCTCATTTGAAACTACCTATCTACCTCTTCTGTGATGAACCTGGGCTGTAGAGAGCTCATTTGTTCTGTGGACGCCGAGTTGCCCGTTTTGCAGCATTCCATATCGCACCCACACTGACACACACAAACAGGTAAAGTGAACACCCGAAGAGACGCGAAAGAGTAATCTTTTCAAACGTTTCCTATTCGCTACATCACTTTCAAAGAAGGCACACTCGTCGAGGTTAATTCTCTTTTTCTTTTCCTCATTTTAACCACTGGCGCTGACAACGCAGCATTTTAATTTGCTTTTCATTTTGCTGTCCGTTTTGTCTCGCTGGCTACAATATTCCATAAGCATTAATACTACTCGTTTGCGATTCCTCGTGACTGATACCTTGCCTCCACATTTTCAAACAGAGGCGGAGGTAAGAGGAGGAAAAAAAACCTGCGTATTGAAGATGCGCTCCCTTCTCACTCATCATCAGGCCGTGGGCGCTGTGGTCGTTCTCATGCTCCTCCTGCTTGACGTATCTGCCGTTGTCAGCGCCGTCGGCAAACCGCGCAGCACGAAGTTGCCCGCCAGTGTCGACCCGCTGCACCCACGCGTGAACATCAACTGGACGGAGCAAAGCGCCAACGTCAACCTCACCAAGGAGGAGCGAAAGAGCATTTTACGCAGCAAGCTCGTTCTCACAAAACTGGTCGTTCTAAACCGTCACGGCCACCGCGCACCCAACGCGCCGTACTGGCAGATGTGCCCCAACGACGCCTTCAACAAGCAACGCTACGACGTTGCGCCAGAGGACCTGACGGGGCTCGGCATGCAGGAGGAGTACCATTTCGGCCAGTACATCCGCGACACCTACCACAGCTTTCTCGGCGACAAGTTCAACCGCTCCCTCCATTACTTCCGCGCCGTCGGCGAGCCACGCATCCTGCAGTCTGCCATGGCTGTGGCGCAAGGCATCTTTCCGAACGGCTTCGGCCCCGGCGGCCACCTGCCCTCCCGCCCTCAATTTGTGCCGGTCTTCTCGGACATGGACACGCACGAGTACCTGCTCGATGACGTCCCCTGCTTCCGCCGCGCCGAGAACGACTCTCACCGCTGGCTGGAAACGCGCTACCCTGACTTCATCGAGGACCCCTACAACAAGAGAGTGATTGCCACCATCAAGGAGATGTGCGGCCCCTACAACGGTACGGCCAAGAACTACGCCTACATCAAGACGGTTGCGGACGGTCTCACCTTCAGCACTGACTTTGGGCTCAACGTGCTGAACGGCAAGCTCTCACCACAGATGCTCTTCGACATCCGCAACGTCTCGCTTCAGTTGCTGATGCAGCGCCTGTATAACACGGACGAGCAGCAGACCTACACAGTTGTCGATCTGCCCCGCAGCGTGCTGCAGACCTTCAACCACACCCACATCGGCGACTCACCGGCGCAGCTCAACGACTTCTACGACACCCGGCAGGAGTCGAACTTCTACTTTATGCACCGCGAAGCCCTCTACGCCTTTGCGCAGTTCTTCGGCTTCCAGTACAACGTGGCGGGTCTGCCGCCGGGCGAGGTGCCGGTCGCGGCCTCCCTCATTATGGAGAAGTTGATGCCACGCCAGGATCAGTTCTCGCACGACGCGAGGAAGATCTACGTCCGCATTAAGCTCTGGACGCCTTACAACGGCATCTACTCGATCCCCATCTCGAAGTGCCGCATTCCGGAGCTGTGTGAACTGCGCGAACTGTTTGATATCCACGACACGCGTGTGAAGCGCACCGGGACGTGGGAGACGCTTTGCCACTACAAACCGCAGGAGATCGACCACACGACGGACATCCGTTAAGGGGGACGTGCGGCTTGCCTCAGTTCTATATCGATGTAAGCGACGTTTTTTTTTGTTTTTCAGTAGTGGGGAAAAGAAAGCGTCGAGCAGGATCCATTCCTTTTTCCCACCCTCCTCCTACCACCTGCATTGTGCTGCACTTTTCAACGGAGGAGAAGTCGTAATGCAGTTAATTCGGTTAACGGAGAAAAGTATCTTTTTCCTCTTCTTCTTAGGTTTCCAACACCAGAAAGCAGCGAACCTCTGACGGACTTCTCGTTAGCGCTTTTGGGATCGGTGATAGCAAATGAACTTTTGTTTCCCCTTTATCTTATCCCTGCCTTCTCGGCTCGTTGCTGTGCTTTTTCCCATGCACGGCGCACGAGTCAAAACACGTGTGTTCTAATAGCTATTACTCTTTCTTACTTTTCTTTCTATCTATTCTTCTCTCTTTTAGGAATAATACTGTTGCTCGATAAGTAGCGGAGCTAACGATAAAAGTGTTTATATATGAACATGTTGAACACTTTTGTGTATCTTTCGATCGGTGAGTAGAGTTTAAAGAAGGAAAAAGAAAATTGAATAAAGAATGTTGGTGTACTTGGGGCCATTCTCTCTTCTTGTTGTTGGTGATTGAGTGCTGGTGTTGTTCCGGTTTTTCCCATCCTCGACACTTTTTTCTCTGTCTTTTTCGTTCGTTTACCTCTTGTCTTCCGTCCCGCCACTCATCCAACTGTGGTGGAGAGTGAGCCGGTTGAGTCGTTGCGCGGAAAAGGATCGCAATCGTCATTCAGCACAGGTGCCAGTGATAATGAAACATAGTTGAAAGTGTCGTCTTTTCTTCTTCGTCTTTTGCTTTTCTTCGTGTCTCACTTGGGGTCTAACCTAAAATCGAAAGAAAGAACGAGAGAGAGAAAAGTTGATGGTGCACTCTTTCTCTGGCGCATGCGCGACTACGGTCATGGCAACGAGAGTAGTGTTCTCCGATATGATTGTCGTCAAACGGCTCCTGCTTTGTGAGATCTCGAAAGACGTTGCTTGTCCTCGGTCAGCTCCTTTTTTTTTTTAGACCCAAGCGTGCCTACGGCTGTCATGGATGCTTTCGCCTGCGAGCCTTAAACTGAAATCAATGGGAAACATGTTGCTATTGATTTATTCGTCAGTGTCGTACGTGCTTCTCTCCACCGTTCTCTAACTAAATCATCTACAATTGTTCTTTCTTGGCATTTCATTACTGTTCAGAGAAACACCGAAGCTCTTTGCTCCGTGCAGCAGTCGGCTGCAGAGAATTACAGAACAAGACGATTGACGCCTGGATACGGTTGCGATCGGGTCACCGCCCCCCCCCGCCTATTCGTAATGGACCCTTCAAAGCGCATCTGTCTAAAAAACCTGCCGACGGGGTGCACGAAGCGCGAGATTGCGGAGCTGATTCGCAATCGCACCGGCACGCCCATCCACAGCATCGACCTTGGCCTTGGGCCTGACGGCGAAACCCGCCGCTACGCCCACTTCTCGTGCGAGGGTGCGAAGCACGTGCTGGAGGTTCTCGGCAGCGGCGTGGCACTGCGCGACGCCACCGTCTACGCCCACCCAGCCAAGATGCACTACTCCTTTCGCTACGCCGAGGCACGCCGTAAGCGGGAGCGCGAGGAGGTGGAAGAAAAGGAGCAGCTCGCCGCCTACTGGGACGCGGCACGGCAGCGCTTCCTGGATCGCACCAACGGTGGGGAGCTGCCCAAGGCGAAGCCGCCGAAGGACTTCTACGCGTCGAAACGCAAGTATGCCCGTATTGCGGCAGAAATCGCGCAAACGTTTCGTCATCAGAGCGGGGCAGCTCACGGCGGTGCCGGTGCCGGAGTTGGCCGCGGCGACTACCCCCGTGGGGCGGCGCACGCCACAACCACAACGTCGTCTTCCTTTGGGGAGGGAGGAGAGAAGTTCAGCGGGGAGCACAGCGCAAATGGCGTAGACCCGACTGCGATGGAAGGGGCTGCAGGTGCAAACTCGCAGCACCAGCACCACCACGCACACGGGGCATCGTCCGCCAGCCGCACTTTCGCACAAGCCGGGAAGAAGAGAGCACCTCGTGCAGCCGCAGCGAAGGCCAAGGCGCCCGCGGCCCCTCCGCCGCCGCCTCCGCCACCAGAGCCAACGAAGGAAGAGCGTAAGCTGAGCGGCTTGCAAGCCAAGCTCGCGGCTCTCAAGGAAAAGCTGAAGAAGTAGGGAAAAGAAGACTTGATAATCGCAGCTTAATGGTGTTGTTGCTGCTGCTGCCGTTAACTGCTCTTGTCCTATTGTTGTGCCGCGCCTGCCGAGGGTTTTTTCGGTGTACATGGTTCTGCGTAGCCGATGAAAAGGCGTCGACACAGCGACAGACAACTCTTGATTGATTTCTCTCCTCTTCGCTGGTACGCAGTAAGCTCGCATTAATTCTTGCATTAAAAGGCAAATAAATCCTTCCTTAAAGTATATGTCTTTTAACTGTAGCACGTTTACTGTTTCGAACGATGCCTTGCATCTGCTCGTGTTTTTTTTGCCGTTTCTTTTTTTTTTTGCAGTCATCGAACAGTCAGTCGTGTGCTACCTCTGTTAAAACCATACTTCCGCTTGATACTTAGAGTGCGGAGTCAGTTTCCTCTTCTCATCACAAACGCGCTTCATGATGCTATCTTTTCTGACCGCATTTCTGTTCTCAACCAAAAAAAAGCCTTCTTGTTGCTCGCCTCCTCCTCTCTTTCCTTGAAAATGCGGCCCATTCACTCCCATTCAATCGCCTTTCCGTGTGACCCTACCCACCAGCATGCGGCACAAGTATAGATAGGCTCGTTTCGCAGTAAACAAACAGTCAAAACAGCGAACGACTTTCGCGTTCTGTATCTACGTTTTGTACAGAAGTGTTTAGACCCTGAAGCCAAAGGTGTTTATTGACATACATATATACATCGCATTACGCGTGTGTGTGTTTGTGTGTTTGTGTGTGTGTGTGCTTCATCTCTGGTACATTGTGTAACGCGGAAGAAGTGGAACGAAGTTGTTTCTTCTCGTCGACACACACTCTCAGCCTGAAAGTGCGTACACCACATATATATGTGAAGGTGTCACCGCGTTCGCACTAGCAAAGATCGCCTAATTTCTCTTCATTCAGAAAAGTGAAAAAGTACCTACGTTAAAAAAAGAAAAGAAGCACGTTAATACACACCGCTGCTCGACCTTTTACATCTGACTCACGTTTTTGTTTTCAAGATACTTGCGTATCTGATTTTGCTTCCTTCTTTTTGTATTTCAGGTTCTTTCTCGCTTTTCTATTCCGTCATTCTTCTTAAAGGCCGTTCTTCTGCTATTTCTCGTCCTAGAGTTAGTGCCTAGCGTCGACACACACATACGCAAGCAACCAACGGTCCCCCGTGCCCCCCCCCCCCAACCCAGAAGACGAGTATTGATCGTGCGCAGCCTTCGGCGGACTTCACCTTTCTGTTTCGCTGCTTCCTTCTTAAACTGTTCAGTTTACAAGGTTTTTTTGTTTTCTCCTGTGTGTGTGTGTGTGTTTCTAGTGTCTTTTCAATACTATCAAAGGGAAGACATACGTGTATGTACAATAGGTGAGTGAACTTAGACTGCGAATTTCAGCAGCAGATTTGTTCTCGACAAGCCAGAGAAGAGCCTCCACAACCTACAGTGTCTTTATTATTTCAGCCTTTTTTTGCTGCTGCTGCTGCTGTGTTTTAGTTTGTGTAGCTCTCCTATTTATTTGTGAGTTGAGGCTACGATCTCTTGCGGTTGCTTGAGAGAGAGAGCGACATCGTTTTTGTTTTTTGTTTTGCTTGCTGCCTCTCCGTCTTTCACTCCCTTTTCCCCCGCACTCGCGAATTTGTCTCACGGCTCTCCTGTAGCTATTTCTTTCGCGTGTTTGTTTCTCCGTACCTCGTTGATTCCCCCCCCCCCTGCCTTAGCGAAGCTGCCGGATGCCGCACACTGCAGTTATGTCAACGGCAAAGCCACTGTTCGAGCCGGAGTCTCTGCGGGAGCAGCAGCAGCAAGGTACCCGCTCCCCGTGCACGCCTCCGCTGCAGAGCATCAAGCATTCGAAACGGGAGTCTCCAGAGGAGTACAACGGCAAGCGCAACGATATTTTAGACTGGTCTCCGCCGACGCCGGAGTCGCTTCCTGTCATGCACGTCAGGGACGTCGTGAACGGTGCTCCTGCTGATAATGAGGAAGAAGTGGATGATGAAAATGCCGTGGTAATGGTAGCCGACGTTCTTGAGCGCAAGTTGGAGGGGAATGCGAAGGGGGATTCTGGAGGAAACGAGCGACAGCCTGCTGAGGAATGTAAAGGTGAAGATGCGTCGGCGCCTGTGCAGTCAACCTCACCGGCTGCAACGACCCCACTCGTATCTGCACCACCCACACACGTAGATCCAGTAGATGAGCCCGGCAACGTTGGTCGGTGTTTCTTGGCGCCAATTAATTCTAATTATGCTGTTGATACCTGTACATCTACTGAGGGGTTAGATCGCCTTCAGCACCACGGTGTGTTCTTCCCTGATGAAGTAGCGGCAGCAACTACCGCAGCCCTCTTTGTCTTCATTGCCTCCTACGGTGACCTGCCCACCCTTGTGCAGCTTATGCGCGTGTGCCGTGCGAGTCATCAGCTAGCCACCTGCGACGAGGTGTGGAAGCCCATTCTGTGCGACATGAACCTGCCTCCGCTGCTTGCCGCATACGACCGCAGTGCCGACTACTACGCGTTCTTTCTTGACGAAATCGTCACGACGCGTGCGCTGCACGGCCACTACACCTTTCAGGCCGCCAACAACGCCACCGGCAGCTACGGTAGTGTGAGCAATGCTAGCGGCTCACGTGCCGGCGCCGACGCCAACCGCGACCACCTCCGCGACGACGACTCCCTGCAAGAAGACGTCTTCAACATCGCCTCTCTGCAGCTTCTCATTTCGGCCGCCTCGTTAGGTCAATCGAACCACTTAATCGGGCGAGTGCAGCTGCTGCTGACGTACAAGAACGACTCGATGGAGGTACTGCAGGGCTCCTGCCGCTTCTCTGTCTTTCGGCGGTGCTTCTCGCTGTGCTGCAGCGCCTTCGGGACGGTGAAGCGCGGGCCGGTGTTTACCGTGGCTGTCGCGACTGTCACGAAGCCGTGGGCCAATGAGGGCTTCCAGCATTTCAGCGAGCACAAGAATGGTATTCGCCTCGTCATGACACCGGTGCTGTGGGAGGGTCAGAGCCCAGGTTCGCAGATCACCGAAAAGGACATCCTTGTGGTCAGCCGCCCCCGACCAGAGCCCGCGGCAGGCACCGCAAACGCACCTCCTTCAGAGCCTTCGACACAGTCTCGCTGCTGAATGGGAAGACACAAAGAAAGAAGAAGAAGAGGGAGAAAGCTGTGGAAGATAGCGGGAGGTAGAGTCACACACAAAACGAAAAGGAGTTTCAATGGTGCTCCGGCATAAACGAGCTCTCATTCGTTGTTCGCTTGCTGTGGGAGGTGCGGTCTCTGCGTAGATGATGGCGAGATATAATTCCAAGTGCTATGTCCGGTTCTGCTTTTGTTTGTATTGTCTTTTGCTTTGCTGTAGAGGTGTCATGCGCTTCACTGTCATCACGAAAAGTTGCAACGTTTGTGTGCGCGCGCGCGTGTGTGTGGGTGATCGTGTGTTTTCTGTGACGTTGTGTATGTTGAAAGGGTAGCGGTGTGTAAATGATAAATCTGCTGGTTGATTACGGTCACCTTTTTATTATTATTCGAAAAGGTTTTGTTTGAGTGGGCAGCTGCCTCCCACGTCTCTTCTTGCTTCCACGCTTTGTTTGTTGTAATTGTGTGTGTGTGTGTGTGTGTGTGTGTGTGAGTGCGTTCTCTTCTTTCTTTTTTCTCCAATTCCATCAATATTTGACGTTTTGTGTACGGCGGCACACGCGTCCATGTGTATCTCGCTGCCTGTCCTCCGCCACGTACGACAGCAACATCCAAACGAAAACAAAGAAAGATGAAGGTAGAGTAAACACGAGGTTTCTCATGGATGGGAAATAAGATGCGTGTTTTCTTCTTTTTTTTCACCAACTTACAATGGTGTCAAAGCGTGTACCGCATGGAAACTGCAGTGTTTTCTTACTCTCTTGTTAACCGTTTCGGGAGACGAAGAGAACACAGACACGTATCGGAGCGGGATCTCACTTTTTTTCTTCTTCTTCACACAGCTGCACTTTCCGTCGACTGTGGAACAAAGCGAAACACACGTTGAGGACCTGTGCGCTATCCGAGTAGCGCGTTCTCCTGCGACATACTAAGCAGTTTTCTCCCCTCGTTCTCCAATTTGACACACTTCTAGCCTGGCTGATTACTTTTTAAAAATAAAAGCCCGCTGCTTAGTGGAACACAAACCTTTGAAGACAACGAAGCAGAATCGCCTCTTTTTTTTCACGTGGGAGCGGCAACTGGTGTGCACACTGAAAGAAACTTTGCTTCTGTCGCTACGAAGTGTCGTACTTACGCAGTGAAGCGTCTGTTGAGTGAAGGCAGCTTTGTATTCTCGCATTTGACAAAAGCACTTACATCCCGTTACAGCATTTTCTTACTTTTATTTACTCTCCGTCACGAGGAGCGACAAGACAATGAGCCAACAAGCGGAGAATGAGGCAGGGGATAACGGTGCTGCGTCGTCACCGGCGCGTCCCCTGCGTGTGCGTACCATCGAAATTCTCTGGCACTGCAACGACCGCAACGAGGAAGCCGAACTACTCGGCATGCAGAGTAGCGTCATGGAGGGCATCACCAGCGTCGACTACAACCCCCGATTTGACCGCATCGTCACCACCGGTGGCGACGGCAACATTCGTCTGTGGGAGATGCACACGGCGGCCATCGACGCGTGGCTGGCGAACAACGCCAACGATATGCTCGCGTGCTGCCAGCATTTGTGTTGCATGCGCACCGCCTGGATGCCGCTCACGGCGCGCTGGTCACCGCAGGGGGAAATGATTGCGAGCGCCCACTGCGACGGTAAGATTTGCCTGTGGTGGCGCGACCCAACAGATGAGCCTTCCGCGGCGGCTTCTGACGGCACACGACAGGCGAACAGGGGGCAGTCAAGCGCGGAAGACGGAGAGGTGGAGGAGTGGAAGGCGTACCGGCACTTGACCGGGCACATCAGCGATGTCTACGACCTGTGCTTCTCCGCCGACTCGCGCTACCTGCTCAGCGGAGCCGGGGATGGAAGCATCGTTATCCACGATCTCGAGGCGTCGACGATGCCGGTGCTGCAGCTGACCGACCTGCACACGAAGTTTTGCCGTGGTGTCGCGTGGGATCCGTGGACGCGCCTCGTGCACACTTTCGGCTGCGGGCCCTCGTTGCTGTGCTTCACCCACGTGCCGAGAGGGGAGGGGCACCGTCGCATGCACCTCGCGGGCCAGCGCAGGTGCCAGGGCGACTTTATTGGTGAGTCCTGTGCACTGTCCTACCGTCGGCTCAGCTGGTCACCAGACGGTCTACTGCTTGCTGTCCCGTATGGCAAGTTCACCAAGTCAAGTCAGCAGCAGGCGCCCAGCACCGCTAACCTGCTCGCCAGCATTGAAGCGAAGGAGCGTGCCGAGGCCCAACAGACGGAGGCGGGGCAGAGTATGGATGAGAGAAACAGGTTCTCTGAAGCAGCGACAGCAGCAAACGTAAGCACAAACACCCCAGCTGCCGTCAAGTCTCCAGCGCAGCCGCATGATCCCGCGTCGCTGACAGCGCGTACCGTGGAAGACGAGGTAGAAGACATGCTGCACTGCGTCTACATCTACAGCCGATGTGCTCCTGACAAAGTCGCGTGTCGACTCGGTGTGCGTGGCTTTAGCGAGGTACGCGGCGTGCGATGGGCTCCATGCTTCTTGGAGCCGCTGTCGGCGGAAGAACTCCAAGAGAGTAACATGCAGGTGTCGCAGGCGACGGCGCAAACGGCGACCGCCATGAGGGGGAACCTATCACCAGCTGCTGAAAAGAAGGGAGGGGAAAGTGCTCTTTCGTTACTACCGCCACTACTGCCTTCTGCGTCAAAGGTGTTGTCGTCCACCGAGACGGAGGCGGCTCGTCAGCGTCGGGGTGCCTGGGGACCGGCCGACTACCGGATGGCGCTGGCCGTCTGGACCTCCGACGCCGTCATTGTGTACACCACCGACTGTAGCACCCGCCACAGCGACTTTACGGACTTGCACATGCGCAGCATCACCGACGTCGCGTGGAGCCACGACGCCTCCCACCTTTACACCGCGTCGCTCGATGGGTACATCAGCGTGATTGCTTTTGGCGCCTCCCTCGCGATGTCGCACCGACTTCCCGCCTTCTCCACGTCCCCTGCTGTGCGTTCGCTCTGCACTTTGATGGAGCGGATTGAAAAGGTGGGGCTGAGCATCGAAGGTAGTCGTAGCAGTGGCAGCGGCAGTGCAATGAAAAGTGGTGGTCCCTCCGCTTCAGCGGCGGTGGCGGCAGCGGTGGGGGATAGTGGAAGTGGCGCAGCTGCGCCTACCGCCACGACATCCGTAGTGGTGGTGCGCAAGAAGAGAAAAGTCGAAAGGCCCTCCGCACCGCCACATGGAGAAGAAAAGAAGAAAGACGTCGATGTGCAGCAGCTGGAGGCGCTCATGTCGGACTTGATGACGATACATTGAGCTGGTGTGCTGGATGTATTTACTGAGGTGCGCCTGTGGGTTTTACGCCTTTCATAGAACGTCTCTTCATGGACAGTTCCCTTCTCATAGAACTTCTCGCTCCGGAAGCCTGCAGTACCTACCCCCCCCCCTCTTTAATATATAGGTAATACAAGCACTTCCTAGGGTACTTTTTGTCTTGTATGTGCCTCACAAAATTAAAGTCGAATCAACCACATGGTTCCGAAGCAGAAGTCGTGGAGGAATGCAATGAAATATCCGTACTCAGGTGCTACGAGAGTCGGATTATTATTATTACAACTATTTTATTGTCGTTGTTGACGGTTCGAACGCCTGCTTTGGGCTTACGAGACGGTTGATGGAAACACAGTGGCTCTTCTGCTCGCTCCTCTTCCCCTACTTCGTCTTACTCCTCACCCTTCTCTCTCTGTTTTCTCTGTGTGCGTGTGTGTGTGTTCATGTATTGTCGCGGGACCGCTACGGAAAGTTGGTGATACGTTTGTTGGTGCCTGTGTGTTTGTGTGTGTGCGTGTGTGTGAAAGACTTACCACATTTGTGCTTCTCGAGGGCCGCAGAGGGCATCCTTTTCCACGGCTGCGATTCTTTCCTCTCGGTTTATTCATTTTTTTTTTTTTAATCTTACGTGGCTCGCACCCTCCTCACCGATAGACTCTGTGCGTCATTCGTTTGCACCAGCAATTGGAGCACGCCAGGATTTCACTGTTGCAAACCTTTTTTTTTCGCTTGTGTTGGTTTGTTTTGTTGGAACCACACCGAGACGCATACGGTCCTTTCTGGTTTCCATTGCCCCTAACTATTTGTTATCCTTAGCGTTCATACGCATGTTTAGCACGTTGTCCGCTAGCGGCCCTCGGCGGCTTGATGGCAGCAGCGCGATGCGAAGCAACGATGACGCGTCGAACCTGCGCGTCCTGCCCACCACGGGCGACCCAACCGACGAGGTGCGCGCATCGCTTGCCAGTCTCACGGCACGTGCGCAGCGGCTTGTCTCCGAAAAAGACGCGGAGCCGCTCCTGCGCAACGGCTACGGCCTCTATGAAGCCTCGCGCAAGGCAGCCGAGGAGGCACGGCGGCAAGCCAGCAAGTGCCAGTCGGCCAGCGAAGGCTATGCACCGGCAACGCACGCGTCGGTGGAGCTGTTCATGACGCAGCACCTCGGCTTCGACGCGCAGGCGCAACAGCGTCTTCTGCAGCAGCTGCAACACCGCCACGCCCAACTGGGGGCGGACTTGGGGCCGGTGGATCCGATGGCCGCCGCGGAGAGCTCCGGCTTCATGGGCATCACGGACGTCGACGCCGTCGTGGCGGAGATCAAAAATGACATTTTACTCGACGTGCAGCACGCCGTGCACCGCCGCCAGACGACGCTGGTGCGGGATCAGGTGGACGCCCTCTTCAAGGCCGCGTGGCACTCCTACTACGTGCAGGTGGCGGACGACTACGAGGCGCTCTCCGTGGGCGCGGCAGAGCTGGCCATGAACAAGAGCGGTAGCAGCGGTGTTGGTCGCATCTCTGCGGGCGCGACAACGCAACGGCCGGCGGCTAGTTTCGGCGCCAGCACCGCCCACTCCCTCCTGGACTTGCTGAACGGCGACTCTGTCCTTGCAGCGGAGCTGAACAAGCGCATAGCCGCCTTTGCCGCCATCGTGGAAGAGTACGCCCCGCTGCAGTGGGTCTCGTACTTCACCTCGTACGTCACGGAGACCTCGCTGGATGTGGCGGATGAACTGACCGTGTTGTGGGCCACCGTTGCGCAAATTCTCGAGGCGATGCAGCGCCGTGGAGCGGAGGCGGACATGCTCGCGTATGTCGCGATGAGTCGCCGCGTCATGGAGCGCAAGTCGCTGAGTCGGCTGCTCCAGCGCGTCCTCCGCCTGGACCCGATGCGCTTTGAGGAGGTGGAGAACATGAACGCGGCGCACGTGCTCGACGTGGTCACGCGCTACTGCGGGACGGCGAACCACTGGATGCACACCTTTGTGGCCATGCGTGCGGGCCGCTACGACGTGGCGAAGTTAGCCGCGCAGACCATCGGCATCACAGCGGTGACCGACGCGATGGAGAAGATGACGGCGGCGGCCCCAGGGGAGCGCAACGCGTTGAGCCCCGCGATGGACCTGCAGACAGTCTACGCAGAGGCCGCCACGAAGGAAGACCCCTATCGACAGGCGGTTTTGATGATCCTGTTAGCTGGCCGCACCGGGGAAAGCTCCGCGGCTGTTCTACGCGCAATGCTCAGTCTTTCTCAGCGCATCACGGACTCCCTCGAGGACGCGCTGTGGCTGCGGCTGTCGTGCATCCGTGGAGTGGAGGAGTCGGCGCAGGTGTCGACGGTGCAGAGCCTTCGCACGTTGCAGCGCGCCGTCTTGGATGATTTGCAGGAGCTGGTGACGCTGACGCAGGGCAGCGCCTGTCGCCTTGCGTCGTTCCTCATCCACGCCCTTCTGCCCTCCGCCGGGCTGCGGCTCTTGTTGGAGAACAACTACACCCACGTTGACGGCTTTCACATGGCCCTCTGTTTCAATGCACAGAACCTGCTGCAGGAGGGTTTGAGCTCCCCTCTCGAGGTGCCCATCGATCTTGCCCGCCACATGAGCCGCTACTGCTCGGTGGTGCTGCTGGACGTGGATCGCCGCACGAGGGCTGCCGCCTTTGCTGGGACAGCTATGTTCGCCTACTTCTACAAGAGCGGCCTCACGGACGCCTTTGTAGAGTGCTGCCTCAAGGACACGATTTGCGCGCGACTATTGGGTTCGCGTGCAGCGATTGGAGGACAAGACGCACTGCTGCTTCGCGCCACCGCCAGTCCTCTTTCCGAGGAGCTGCTGAAGGCGTTGATACAAGTGGCCGAAGCTGCGTCGGCTCGTAGCGAGGTCGCCAAAGCCACCCACGTGCTCGTCGCTGTGATGTACCTTGCAGAGCAGCTGGGCCGCGCTGAGCTGCAACAGCAGGCCCTCCTCCGCGCGGTGCAGATCATCTCGCCCGCCCTCGCGCAGGTGTTGCATCTCCCGTCGAACAGCGTCGCCGTGTCGGATGTGCTGTCTCAAGCGGCGAAGCTGCTGCAGGTGGTGAACACGGATGAGAAGCACCTGCAGGGCAATCCTCTTGTCTCGCAGGACTTCCAGACCTTTTCCCTGCTGTGCCGCATGGCAGATGTGTATGCCTACAACGCGCAGGGCAACTTCAGCGATGCTGTGAACGCGTTCTTGCAGCTGCCGTTTGTCCCTGCATCGGATAGTGCCATGATGGGCGATGCTGACACGTACGTAGACGCCTATTGCAATGCCCCCGGCAATGTGCAACTCGGCGTCAGTGCGGTGTTTCCCATCGTCGTATCTGCCGCGGGCCAGCTGCTTCAGCTGTACGCCCGCAGCCGCGCCAACGGCGGAGACGTTGAGGAACGACAGACTCATCTTCTACAGCGCATGCGCAGCGTGTGTGACTGGGCCCGGCAATGCTGTGCGCGGATCAGCGTAGAGTACCCGACAGCCGCTGACGACTTTGAGCGCCAGTACCTCGGATAGAACGCATCAACGGTGGCGAGAGTGAAAGAAAGAAAAGGTTGCTTTGAAAAGAAGTGTTTCTATCTGCGTTTCGGATGTGTGGCAAAGCCAATTGTTTGTTGGATCATAAAAGCGGTCGTGGTCAACCATCACTGACATACATCCAGCCGTCATGTTCTCGTTCAATGAACTAGTTGGTCTTAAAGGGGGGGGGGATTGTTTCTCCGATAATTCGATGTGTTGACGTGCATGCCGGTATTGTTTTATGTGTGTTGTTGTATTGTTTCCCTGTGTCAGAGTAGCCGATTGGCAGCACCACAGCCTTGAAATGTGTGTGTGTGTGTGTGTCTATACTATCACTTTCTAGTTGTCTCTTCATCCCAGAATAATAATATGCGTCTGTCCAAATGAGCTGTGATAACAAACCAAAGGGAAAAAGCTGGCATCGATTAGAAAAAAAAGTTTCAACAGTGATCATCACGCTGCGCATGCAACACCTTCGTTTTGCCTTGGCTGGTAGCGGTAGACAAACTTTATTGCTTGCTTATTGGTTTACAATGAGGAGACGCACGCCGTTCAGTCGACGCCTTCGCCACTCTCCATTTTATTAGTTGAAGCAGAATCGCGCTTGGATCTTTTCCCTCCTCACTACGAGCTTGTTGCCTCGTTGTCTTTCACTGCGTTGTTATTTCTGTTTAATGCGCTCATGGAAGCAGCAACACCTCTCCTTAAAGAGTGTTTGACTCCTTTGTGTGTGTGTGATTACGTCTCATAGCGCTCCTTCACATGTTTACTCGTATTTGACGTTCTACGTGCAGACTCCATCCAATTTCAACACACGGAGATAGAAAGGGACTTTACAGGTTTCAATCTTCGCCATCTGTCTCATCCCGTCTTGTAGTTCGAGATGTCGCGAAACGGTGAGGTAGAGAGGCTGATCGTCTTTGCGAGGGACTTTGCTGAGTTGTACATGCGATTTTCGAAGCACTTCATCAGTTTTGACGCCATCTCCATTGAAAGCTTCGCGGAGGTCTTCGACGCCAGCAAGGTCGAGTACCTTCACTACGGTGGCGGCACCGCCTTAGACCGTCCCTTTTTTCCGGCCATCACAGATGACCTCCTCCAGCTCAGCGCTGCCTACCTCGCGATTCCCGCCGAGGTGGCGCCACGCATTGTCCGCACATTCGGTCTTTTGTTGTCGCTTTTTGTGTACGCCACGCAGCCGGCGCGGCAGCGAGACACGAGAGAGGGAGCGGCGGAGGAAGAAGTGACAGTTGAGACGCCGTTGGGAGCAGCTTCAGCAATGTACACTGCAGGTACGTCATCTTCCACTCGGCCGAGTAGCACCGGTACGGCACTGACGGAGAACGGAAACGCTGAAGCTGCAGCGCCGCCGCTCTCGTCCCTGTCCCCCCGCCTGCCGATGCGGTCCGTCCCTATCAGTGTCAGCTGCATGCGTCACCTGCTCTCGTGCATGTCTACTGCTCACGCCGCCGCTATCCCCACCTCAACCTTATCACAAAATCCTCGCGATTTTCATCGAAGCGGCAGTAGCAGCAACAACTACAACTCCAGGGGCGCAGAGCCGCTTGCTCAGCCTGCACGGTCGTCCTCCGTTTCCTCGCCAGCCCCCGTGGCGCAGCTCTCGTACACCGAGGCGCGAGCGCTGTTGATGCTGCACCGTGCAGGGGGATGGCACGTGGAGCCCTACGTTCACAACGGCCTCCACATCGACGCCCTCATGACGGCGCATGCGGCGCGTGGTGTTCCGCTGGTGACACGGGTGACACCGCTGCCGCCGCCGACGTTCGCGGCCATGCTGACGGCGCGGTCCATCATGCATGCATCTGTGTCTCCTGCCGCACTGGGGGGCGCGGACAGTCTCTTTCGCGATCCCGAGTTTGTTCGAATGCGGCAGGAGTACGAGAAGGAGCGGCAGCAGCTTTTCCAGTAACGGGCAGCATAACGCATCACCGGTATATTTTCTGTAGATCCAACAGGAACGGATCATGACGGGCCGGAAAAAAAAATGATTTTTTTTGTGTGTCTTTGAGGGATGGGGCTTCTTGAGGCTCGAACTATCGCCTTTTCCATGCACGACTGCGATTTGCAGAGCCGGTGCATTATAGAAGCGAAACCAAAACGGTGTTGTTGTTTTTTTGCTTCTGCCACTTGTTGAAATGCACGATGTGTTGTCCTTATTTTCCCCTCCTTCCTCCTCTTTTGGTTTTTCTTCTTCTTTTTTTTTAATCTGTGAAAACACGCTGACCACAAATGTTTGTTGATGGAGGAATACAGCACTAATCGAGGTCATTTTTGTCTGCCGCACCTGCAGCCGGCAAGCGAAGGTCTGGCAACGAAAGGGGAAAAACTCTCATCGTTTCGGAATACACACCGTTGCTAACCAGATGCTCTTGCTGCGCCTTGCGTTGCGTGGTCAGGCGCCCACCGCCGCTTTCATGCCTGCACTCTGCAGGTGTATACGTGAGGTGCACATGAGCAGCACCACTCCTCCACCCTCAACACGGCTGCCCGCTACGTCGGATTATCCGCCACCGTCTTCGTCGACAGCGGAAGAGAAAGGCAGCACCTCCGGTGCAACCCCCGTCGTGGGTTTTCAGCAAGCCGACATCCTCTTCGATGTGCTCGGCGGCTCAAATGCAGAACCGGCTCGTTTTGAAGGCGCCAACAACGGTACCACAAAGACGCATAATCGTAGCAGCAGCAGCAGCGTTGAGGGCAATAAGAAAGAGCAGCAACATGATACCCGTTCTTCACATCTTGAAGACGCGTCGCCGTCGTCGCCGTGGACGCAGCACATCCGTCAGGTGGTGCGCGAGACAGTGCTTGATCCTCTGCGAGAAAAGAATGACGCAGAAGGCACCGAGCAGGCATCTGGCACTTCAAACTCGTCCCATGAACAGTCACCTGCCGCGTCTCCCTTCAAGGTGCTGGTGGTGGATGCTTTAGGGATGCCAGCCGACTTGCCACGCGGTGCTCCGCGCAACTTCGAGGGCCTATTAGAGCTGTCCCCGGCTATCCTGCGCGAGCAGCTGCAGCGACTCATGGAGCGCAAAGGCTACCGCGCCCTCACAGCAGTTCAGGCGGCAGCCATTCCTCTCATGCTCGAGTACCGAGATGTGCTCTGCATTGCGCCTACGGCGACGGGCAAAAGCTTATGCTACGTTTACGCCTCCCTGCTGCGGCTTCTGCTAAGCGACATCAACGGCCGCTCCGCAAGCGCAGCTGCACCAGCCGCGGACGGCGGGGTGAATCTCAACCGACGTCAGGTGGAGGCTTTTCTGCAGGAGAAGATCGACAGCGGCGAGGTGTGCCCCTACTGTGAGTTAAGCATCGCGGAGACCCGCGTGTGCCCCATGACCGGCTTCCCGCACCCGTCGCCGTCGGAGGTGGAGGGCGACCTCGCTTTGCGCTCGCAGGAGCGCCGTGCGATGCGACTGGAGGAGCTCCGCTCGTCCGTCGCGGAGCCGCGTGTGCTTGTCCTTGTGCCAACAAGCCAACTCGCCCGCCAAGTCTACACCGTCTACCGCACCCTCCGCTGCGATTACCGCATCCACTGCATGGTGCGCGCCTCGAACCCCGAGGAGCAACGCAAGTACCTGCAGGCCCTGGAGAAGGGCGTGGACGTGCTCGTGTGCGCGCCGGAGACCATCTTGCCTGCCCTGTACAAGCACAAGCTCTCGTTGAAGCGAGTGCAGACGGTTATCATGGACGAAGTGGACGATATGGTTTCTGTCAACCACTTCGAACCGCTAAAGATCGTGCTCGGGGCCTTGCCGAAGGGTGCACTGCGCCCCCAGCGCTTGCTTCTCGGTGCGTCGCTGCCACCCGTCGCCTACGCGATGATCAAATCCAAGATGTTGCTGCCCTCCCACCGCTTCGTTCTGGTAGACCTCAAAACACCGATGCGGGAGAAATCACCCGTGCAGACGACCTCGTCCGGGAGTCGAGCTGTCGCCGCGGCGGACTCTGTTGCACCCGCCCTCGACGGAGTCCTCACCGCACAGGCAAACCTGCGCCACTTGATCTTCATGGTGGGGCGTGCGGAGAAGGCGCAGAAGCTTGCGTGGTTGTACCAGACGGGCAAACTGACAGCGGACCAGCGGACGCTCATCTTCTGCAACTCCCGCCACAACGTCGCGTACGTGCACGACAAGCTGAAGGAGCTGGTGCCGGGGGTGAACGTGACGACGCTGACCTCGCACGCCTCCTCCACGGCGCGTGAGGGGGTGCTGAAAATGTTTCGCACCGGTGTGTCCAGCTGCCTCATCTGCACCGACCTGCTGAGTCGCGGCATTGATTTTGAGAAGGTAGTGTACGTGGTGCATTACGACATGCCGGCAGACATGGAAACCTGGATGCACCGGTGCGGTCGCTGCGGCCGCGGAGGATTGCTGCGTGGCCATGGTTACATCTACACCTTCTTTCAGCCCGAGAATGTGAGGCTCGCGAAGCCCCTCGTTGCGTACCTTCGTCAGCAGCGGCAGCTCGTTCCACCGAAGCTGCAGGAGTACGCAAAGCAGTCGTTTATTGATGTCTTCAACAACTCTCTGTTCCATCACCCCACGCGGCCGTACCGCAAGGACGATCCTCAGCATACCACATCAGTGCTCGGGAGAGGAACACGGCGCTTTCCCGATTACAAGCAAGGTGCCATCCACAAGCATTTCCGTCCACAATAGCGGCCGTCGTGTGCCAATGAAAAACGAAAGAAGGAGAGCAGGAGAGTTGTTCGTTCGGCTATTCACACAACAAGCAATAAAAGCGTTTCCCTAACAAATCATACTAAGTACTCGAGCGTTCGGTAAAAAGTGGAGAAAAGTGAATGTTTTCTCCTTTTTGAAGCCAGTTCTTTTTCAGCAGACAACGCCGAAGGTGTAAACGCCTTTTTTGTCTGTCTGTGATCTTATCTATTTCATACGTACGCTCGCTTCCTACAAGGAGACCCTCGTGCCTCGGTTGCTGTTGTGTGGGCACGGCACGGTGACGCCTTGCGCCGAGCATCGTATGTGTTTTATCTCCCCGTCCCCTTAGAAATGTGTGAACGTGGACCTGGTGCTTACCCTTCTCTGCACCTTTTCTTCTCTCTTCATTTCTGCTCCTACTCTTCTTTCGCATATATGCACCTCGTAGGGACACCCAAAAAAGAGGCTCTTCTATACCCCCTTTTTTCACTGCCCGTACCATCACTTTGCGGTTGTTTACCACTGGTTTATATATTTTTTCCCAATTCATGTGAACCGTTTCGCACGCTACCAAAGGTTTACTGCTGGAGTCTCCTAATATTATTTTTTTGTTTTCCCGCTGTGCTGAGCAAACGGATATCTGCGCGTTCTGACTTTCTACTCACAGCACGGTGCCTTTTTCTTTTTATTTATAACAGATATATCTGTTGATTTGCACCGCTCCACGTGTTTGCGCAAGCGTGTGCACAAACAAAACTTATTAGGCTGTAGCGACTTCTCATAATTAATTGTATTTATTTTTTTTGTGTTTTTTCTGAAGCTGAGAGAGAATGCGGGCCAACAAAAGCCGTGTGAAGATACCGCCGATTCACAAGCTTCGACCCAGTTGGGCGGCCACCGCCCAACACGCCGCCATCTACCTTCTGCGCAACTCCTTCCTCTGCGCCGTAATATCAATTTGCATCATTCAGCCAGTTTACCGATGGCTCGTTCTCGAAAGTGGCACCCTGCGGCGCCTGCCAACGCAAGGTCTCTTCACGTTTGTCGTCGCATGGCTGTGTCACTCCGTGCCGTGGATTGTTTTCAACAGCGTATTCCTCTTCCTCGACAGCGTCCACCCGGAGTTGGGGACCAAGAAGTACAAGGACCACCCGTTGGTGGTCCCGCTGGGTCGCTGGGCGGCCAAGTACCGCCTTCCTCGGCAGCCGCAGCAGCTCCCCTCGCCCGCCCTTATCCGGCGCACCATCGTGCAGGCGATGGTAGACCAGTACATCATCATCCCCATCGCACTGCTCGTCACCTTGACCTACACGCACGCGTGTGACCTGCGGTCCCCGCCTCCCGAGACCGCGATTGTAGGCTTTGCGCCTCAGGACGTGTCCGAATACTGGCAGGGCCGCCACCTCGGCAGCATGTGTTGGGGTATCTTTACCCTCATGCAGCACTTCCTGTTGGCCAACGTGGTGAATGAGGTGGGCTTCTACGTTGCCCACGGCGCCCTCCATTCGAGCCCCACATTGTACAAAGTCTTCCACAAGAAGCACCACATGTACATCGGCACCATCGGCATCGCCGCCGAGTACGCGTCGCCGCTGGAGGAGGTTATGAGCAACGCGGTTCCCTCCGTCGCATACTTCGCGGTGATGTTCTTCGCCTTCACGCGCGAGGCCGCCGCGGAGTCTACCTTCGTCACGTCGGCGCGGGCGTGGCCGCTCTTCATGACGTGGATGTGGGCACGCCTGTGGGAGACGTTCGAGACCCACAGCGGGTACTGCTTTGCCGATACGTCGCTGGGCAGGGTGGGCCTCCTGCACGGTCATCGTGCCCGCTTCCACGACTTTCACCACACACACAACGTGTCGAACTACGGCGCCGGTCTCTTCATGGACGCTCTCTTGAACACGATGGACCCCTATTTGATCCACCGATACCCCAGCAAGCATCCAACCGAGACGACGCTGGAGGAGGAGGAGACGAAGGCGAATCACGACTTGCAGCAGGCCACTGAGGCGCTGCAACGTGCATCATCGTCGCACTAGATCGGGTTATACTGCTGTCCGCGATGTCGTCTTCGTGGTTCTAGGAACCTCCCCTGTGAGAACGTGTGGGAATGCGTGGTTTATGTGTTTAGATGCCTTCGCAGCGGGTCAGGGGCAGTGCACGCTCTGCCTTCTTTATATACATTTTTTTTTTAGCCTCTGTAGCCTATGCGAATGTGTGTTTTAGCTTGCTGTTTAACGCATGGATGTTGTTTGTTTGTTTGTTTGTTTGCTTCTTCTTCTTTTAGAGTGGGGTTCTCGAACTACGTCTCAACTTGTATCAAGTTATAGTGAATCCGCGCCAAGAAAGAGAGAACAACGATTGCCGTGTAGGTGCCTCCTTCATTACCTCGATTGCGTGTTTCCGTTGGTGATGAGCGCTTCTCTCGTCTCCTATTCTTGTCTTTTGTTTGTTTGTTTTCGCGACGCGCAAGCTGAACTTTTCTTTTGTCTTTGGGTGGGATTGATACCTTTTTTTTCTGTTTCGTTTTGATTTCTCTTTTTTTCTGGAGGGGGGGGGAGGGAAGGGGTGTGAGCGTCTCTTGTCCTCCTTCAATAAAAATGAAAGAAGCGGAATTGGCATTTGATGCATAGATGATATATCACGGCAATAACCGCATCTCAAGCACCAAGAACCGTAAATGTGCGACACGTTCAGTATGTGTGCGTTTTCTTCTTTTCTTTTCTTCGTGTCCCTTGTCGTTTCGTTTTTCGTTGTGTTTCTCCATTTATGGTTTCTGGCCCTCGCATATTCTCAACGAACCATATTGATCAAAGTGTATATGTACGTGCTCAATAAAGAAAAATTCTCGGCATAGCGCGTGTTGGGGTGAACGCGTAGTCCCGATGCCGCCCTTTCTGTTGTTGTTGTTTTCTTTAGGGATGTGTTTCGGCTCTGCTTAATTGTTGCTCTTTTTCCTTCTTTCTAGGAGACCCTCAAAGAGCTGTTACTTTCGAATGCAGCTGCCCGTTGAGGGGAGGGAGTTTACGTTCGCTTTGCCAACAAATACAGAAGGGTTTTCCCTTCTCTCTCTCTGTGACTGCTCCAGTCATTTTTCTTTTTTGCGTGTGTTCGTCCTCCCCTTTGCCGCCTAACGGACTAATATGGGGTTAAACCTCCCTTTCACCGATTCGAAAGAAAAGGTTATCTTTGTTGTTGTTTAGCAGAGGACGGATTAGCTCGCTTGTTGGCTAGCTAGCTTCTTTTTCTTGACTTGTCCTGTGTTGAAAGCACTGCGCTTGAATGAGGTTTATATCGACAGATGCTCACGAACGCATAGGTGCGTCCTGCACACGAGAAGAAGTGAGGAGCGCGTTACTAAACCTTTTATTCCAAAACGTTAAGTATAAATTACATGATGATCTGTCTTTCTTTTATTAATTCTGCAGCAAGCAATAGTTTGACGTCTACGTGCGAATGTGCTTTCAAGTATTCTTTTTTCTTTTCTGTCTGTGTTGCGCTTAACCGTTATACCGTCCACCGCTGCGGCACCCTCAGTTTCCTTGTTTGGACGCGTCGTAGAAATAGGCTCACTTGTCTGACGTGTAGACAGTATGTGAGCTCTATTGCTCTTTCACCTTTAAGACTTACTCTTTTTTTATGTTGCTGTTGTTTGTCGCACGAGTTTCTCGCTCTCAGTCAAATTTGCTCTCGGAGTTTTCTCGAACTTTGTGTCATCAGCCCTCAATAGTATCTAAGCGAGGACAACGTTATCCAGCGTCTACTGCAAAGGAGCCTGCCTTTGCATGTATGTGCCTTTCCACGTTAACGCATCCGTGTGGTGGTTCCTGTGGAATGGAATACAAGATGAACGCCAAGCAAAAGGTGTATGTATCAAATTTATGCCGTCTTGAACCTTTATCGGTTTTGCTTTTCCAAAACAGCCCTTTTTCTCTCCTTTTCTTGTCTCTGCTGAAAATCGGACAGTGGATTGCGCAGCTGTCTTTTTTACTTTATGTATGTATGTGTGTGTGTGTGTGTGTGTCAGATACCGTCTTTCAACAATTTCGCTTACGTGAATCTCCGCCATAGTATTCGGTTATTTTTGTTTCTAATCAGGGAAAGGGATAGAAGGTATTCAACGGTCTAATACGCCTCAGCTGTCCTTTTTTTATTTTACGCACCCCACATCATCTCGACGCATTCAGCCATCCAAGCATCGCAACCTCTGTTTCACTGTCCCACTGAGGCTTTAGAAGACCACATCCTCACGCAGGCAAACACACCCATGACGTCCTTTGAGCCGATGGAGTCTTCCGCTCTCCCCGTCCCCGACGAGCCGAAAAACGTAACGTTGAAGGAAGCGATCGATCGGGATGGCGTCCCTCCCGCACCCAGCTCGAAGCAGCGCCGGCTGATGGACGTGCACGTGACTGCCTACCCGAGTTTAGTCAACACAAGCATGCTGCCCAACCACAAGACCGCCGTGAAGGACTTCTCCTCGATTGATCCGCTCAAGTACCGCAAGGAGCACGCGATTCGCAACAACAACGCAGCCAGCTACTCGGAAAAGGAGGACAACGTGCTGGACATGCTCTCCACCAACCAATTTGCCAACCGCATGACTCAAATCGGCGTGCAGATGCGTGCGGATCGCATCGAGAACCCGGACAGCGTGCCGGCCGCAAAAAGCTTCCACCCACGCGGCTACCACAGCCGCTTCCTCCACCCGCCGTTTGACGAGCGATCCACTTACCGCTGGGACTACTGCCAGGAGGACGTGGAGGGCCTTCACGACACGGCACGCCGCTCCCAGCTGGCCACGTACCGCGACGAGTGGACGGAGAATGAGAAGAGCGACGTGGACGCGTCGATGAAGGTGCCGTACCTGACGCAGCCGGTGTCGTCGGACCGGCTGATGGACAAGGCCACGGTGTACCGCAAGGACTTCATGCCCGAGGCAACGCATGAGGAGTTCCGTCTGCTGACGCACAAGACGGACCTCGGAGACCTCGGCACCACCTTCGCCTACTCCGGTTACGGCGTCGATGACCCGCGCCGCCAGGTGCCCTTTGACGCCGCCGTTGCGTCCACAAAGGGCATGCACAGCGTCGTGGAGAAGTCCTTCAGCCCACGAGCGACGTACGCGGCAAAGAAAGCTGTGGTTGCGCCGTCGGCCAAGGAAGAGCTGGAGCAGCTGCGTGCCATGCAGCGGGAAACGATGCGACGCACAGTGTCCAATAACCATGCTTCCTGTACGGCGGCGCGTGCAATGATGGGCAGTACCGAGCGCGCCTTATCAGGGAGCACCGACTCTAAGGCCACTCCGGTTGTCATACCAGGTCTCAAAGGCACTGGGTACCGGCGGGCGCCGAAGGACAACGACGACTACGTGTGTCTGCCGCGCGATCACTTTCGCTATCAGGTTGTGGACAACTTTTAATCGTCACTGTTGGCGTTGTTGCGCAACGAGGAAACCTAAGCTGTGCCTTCGCGACGCGTAGACGTGCTGTTTACACCTCTGTAGCTTACGTGCTTTACATATGTCTATGTATTCTTTCGTGCTCTCTTTCAGCACGTGTTCCTAACCTACTAACTTGCCAACCTATGTTCATTAGCACAGTCATGTAGCTGTGTTTGCTTTCTTTGGGGGAGGGTATCTTTTTTTTTTTTACTTGTTGTGCAAATGTATATATAATACAATCCATATGTACCTTTTTTTTACACCCGTTTTGTTTGTAGGCATCTTTCTCTCTCAGGTTCTCTTTCTTGTTAGTAGCTTTTTTCCCTTCAAATTGTTCATTCCTATTGTTACCTGTGTCGACTGTTTCCTGGAATCGCTTTTGAAAAAGTGTCTTGAGCAGAGAACTGGCGTTGCTTTGGGAATGCATCGCACCCGCATCTGGTTCTGTTGTAGGTGCTTCTTTACGCACACATCGTTCAGACCACAAGATGGAAATGCTGACACAGATGGTGCACAATGGTTCGAGCGACAACATCGTCGGAAACCGCGAACGGCGTTCTCGCGGCGCGTCTGTTGTCGCATTTCGGGCCACAGCGTATTTTTTGAACGTTTCTCATACGGGAGACACGCCTGCTCACCTTGGCTTTCATCTGCTTTACTTTTGCTTTCCTCTACCTCCTCCTTTCTGTACTAATTCTTTTTTTTGCTCTTCCTTGCTATTGCAACACACCCCGCTCGTACTCCAAAAAAGCAAAGGGAAAGCGTACCACAGGCCGCCTTCGGTGTTTTCCTACTCTTGTCGCGCTTTGTTCGTATTTTATTTTTCATATTTTGTTGTTGTTGTTTTCCCGTTGCCTTGTCCGTGCTCCACTACCACAGATATTTTTCTGCGTGTGCAGGAGTTTGAGGAAAAACATGGACTGATGCGTCGAAAGCATCCCATTTGTATTTCCTATTTCTGTTGTCTTCTTTTTCCTTTTCTGCACCTCAAAAAGGGAAAATTAAATCGCTGATCTACGGTTCCAATGGCAATGATGAACTCAACCGCGATGATGTCCAACGCGGTACACCTAGAAGACGCATCGCGATCGCCGTCGCTGCCGTCGTCGTCGCCGCTTTGCGACCTCCTCGCTGCCGACTCTGTTCAGGATGTTCTTGTGTATCTCTCGGCCGAATCTATTGCGGAGAACCCCGATGCTCGCCTGCGCACATTTAGCGATATCGTCACGCACATCAGCGCGCGTTACACGGGCGACTTCAGCTCCTCGAAAGCAAACTCGTTTGACTTGGCAACGCCGCCATCCAGCCAAGAAAGTGCGCCACCGCTGGAGGCGAGTCGATGGAAATGGGCAGACGCACTCATGCGCGGTGTCACCGACCCGTGGTCCCGCATCCGCGCCATTTGCCTGTCGCCCATGGCCGACCTGCTGCTTTCGGAAGTTCGCGAGGTGCTCGCGCTGCAAAGGCTGGCTGGAGGAGATAGTGAACAAACCCTCGCCACGCTGCCGGAGCGCAGCAGCCGCCTTTCATACTCCGCCCCTGGGCCGTCCAGACGACACAGCACAGACCGATCTGAAACGGACAAGAAGACAGGCGAGGCGGTGAAGGGGGGAGGTCGCTCGCTGGGGGATGGAAAATTGCACGCGTCACCGCCTACACCACTTCGAAAGCTCAACGTGTCGGCCCCATTAGACTACCTCTGGACCTACTGGGAGCGCACAACGCGCTGGTACGAGCATGACGGGATTGTGCGGTTGCTGGTGAAGGTGTACGGGCGCAGTCGCACCGTGCCCGGGGCTGCCCTTCGCGCAGACGAGGCTGGTATCCGCACATTGCTCTTCAAAGTCCTCTTCCCCGCCTTTCGTGACCCGCAGCTGCCGGTGCGCGAGTCTGCCGCCGCCCTCCTCGGCGTTCTCGTCGACCGTGAGCGCACCTTGCCGATTCCGTCCGCCATCACGTCCTTCATTGTCGAACACATCATCGACACGCTGGCGCAGGTGCCCATTCCTGTTCGTAGCCGCTCCCCGCTCACCTCTTCCGATCAGGAAAGCACGCGTGTCTTGGAGGGCAACCTGCTCGCCGTTGTGGTGCTTGTGGACATGAATGTAATCCAGGTGGCCTCCTCGAGTGTGATGCCGCTACTATTGCAGCTAGCCAGCTATCCGGCGTCCAGCGTGCGCCAGTACATCGCGCAGATCCTGCGCCCGCCGTCGCCTCCGGTGTTTGTGTACTTGATGCAGTGCTTGTGCGAGCAGGACGGCCAACAGACACACCGCAGCGAGACAGAAGACAGCGACGATGCTCCAGACGCGGCTGACGATGACGACGACGGCGAGCACAACTGGCAGCGCCAGGAGACGGTCATGATGGCGTTGCAGCAGCACTTCTTGAGCCTCGCATCCACGCGGGCTACGGCGCGTGATTGGCTCCACGCCAGCACGTGTTCCAACAACGTACTAGAGTTGCTGCGCCGCGCCACGCCACTGGCGGTGGTCTTTCACGCAATGCAGTCGCCGCGATTTGAGGTGGCTCGCATGGGCAGCCAACTCTTCCCTCTTCTTCTGCAAACCTGTATTCGCTTCTTAGCCCCGGCGGACCTGCCTCGCATCTGCGAAGCGTGTTGCGGGGCGGAGGGGTGCATGCAAGACGAGCTCAATCGATTGCAGGCGCAGGGCGACCTAGCAGCGTTCGCGAAGACGCAACTGTCCATTGCCACTGTTGCCATGCCTGCACTGTGGTTCTACCTGACAATTCGGCGCATTGAGGCAGAAGTGACGGGCCGGTCGCGGGCTGGCATCGAAAAGGTAATCCGCCCGTACGCGACGTACGAGTGCGTTACTTTTGCCTCTCAAGCACATTTAAGGGAGGACGCAGGCAACGGCAACGACGCCCCCGCTTCCTGCGCGCTGCTCGTGCTGGCGGCCTACTGTGCCTGCGTCATGGATCCGGCGGAGTGGCACCGCTGCGTGGAGGAGGTGCTGAAGCCGAGTTGGTGGGTAGAGCTGCTGTCGAACCCAGTGCGCCGTGAACAGGTGCGGTTGGGCCCCGACTTTGTGCGTGCGGTGCACCACTGCGGCACCCCAGCGCAGTCGCAGCGCATTGTGGAGCTGATCCCCACGCTGACCGCGGCACTCGCCAACGCCCAGACGCATCAGCAGTGTCTGATCATTGCCATGATCCGCGGGGCGGTGGTGGGGCACGCCGGCGCTGCCGCGGCGACGGAGGAGCGAGCGATGGCGTACGTCTACCACGACGTCTACGCCGCGCCGGCCTTGACGGAGGGTGGGGAGGCGGCGCCGCTGGGCCACACGTGGCTGAAGCTCTTCGTCCCCACACACGACGCCATCCCGACCGCAGTGCTGTGGGGGCCGTTGGAGGGGGATGGGGGCAACAGGGACACGAGAATTGTTATCCGTCGCGACTCGGACGTTTTTCGTGCCCTGGACGAGGTGTGCTTCAAGGAGCTCTTTCAGTCGACCAAAACGGAGTTGTCGGTGCTGCGCGAGCTGCACTCGCTCATGATAAGCCTGACGCGTCTCGACGTGCACGCGCGCTACGACGGTAACGGTAAAGAGAGCGACGACCAACACGGCGTCGGCAGTGACGTGGACTGGTGCGTGCTGGCGCTGGAGAGCGTGTTCGGGCGGCTTGACAAAGTGTGCCCGCGATGGCGCGAGAGGGCGAGTGATGACGCAGCGGCAAAGAAGGCACCTGCAGAGGAAGAGGTGGTGGTGGCAGAAAGTGATGAAATTTGTTGGGACGACTGGGATGACGACGAGGATGACGACGACGGTTGTGCGCAGGGCATCTACGAAGCCGAAGCCATCAAGTCAGCCGTCTTGATTGTGTCCACGCTGCGCGAGTTGGCTGCTACAAACTCGCACGACGGCAGCAAAACGAATGTGGCAGATGAGCGCTTCCGCAGCGAGCTGGCGGCGCTCAACATCAAGTGAGCCACGCCATTTCGGTACTCTTTTGTATTATCTTGCCAGATTATTTGGTTTTACCTCTTGCACATCACGTTTTTGGGTGTGTGTATGTGTGTGTGTTTATTATTTTGTTTTGTTTTCTTTTCTAACGATTTGCGTCCGCATTTGTGTGTCATAGTTCTCGCTACGAGAGAGAAAGAAGTTTCCTTCGAAGAACAGGAAAGCAGCTTTGCTCCTTGGGTGTTTGGCTGCGGCATGTTTTGCAGGGACCGGTTGGACAGCTGGCGCTTGTCCTTGGTTGGAATTTGCCTCGACCAGCTTTTCTTCACGCTTCTTCTAGTTTCGCCTCCCTCCTCTTTGCTTCCTTTCTTGGTTGCGCTGGTCGTGCGGCGAGAGTTTGCCGAAGCGCAGTTGGTCTAGTGGTAGAATTCTCGCCTGCCACGCGGGAGGCCCGGGTTCGATTCCCGGACTGCGCAGTCCTTTTCGCCAAAGAAAGAGGGAGAACAGCGCACCCCCGCCGAGCAACACCAAAAGTCCCCGTTAACACAGCGGCTGCTTAGCTCAATGGCAGAGCGCCGTCCTAGTAAGACGGAGGTCACGGGTTCGATCCCCGTAGCGGCCTATCCTTTTCTCGTTCGTTTTGCTATCGAGAAAGGATGCGCAACGTACCTCTGGGATGATGCTCCTCACATTCTTGGTGTGGACTTCCAAGATCACCACGAGACGGTCCTACAGACCTTCCTGAAGTCCCAAGCAGCACCCACATATACTCTACAAAGCATTCAAGCTATTGTCGAGCACATGAAACAAGAATGCTTCGTCTTCTCTCAAGCACCGCTCGACATTCTCAAAGATCAGCTGAACAACCGGCGTTGGAAGCGCAGATGAAACATGCGCTGGCTCTCGAGGCGGACAGGTATCGCCACGAGTACGAGCTACGCCGTGAGCAGCTGCACAATGACGATGCGCTGCAGCGTAGCAACTCGGACAACGACGCAAAGCTGCTCCAACAGCAACTCGATTTCCAGAAGTCCAACCTGGAAGACCGTGAGCGACGCGTCTCCGCTCGTGAAAGAGAACCGGAACAGGTGAAACGCGCGTACGCAAGAGATCGAGAAGCCTTGGACACCAATTGGGACGATCTCCAGGAGACGGCGCAGGAACGGATTGCCAAGCTGCAGAAACAGGGCAATACCCTCGAGGCGGAAAGGGTTCAGTTGGAAGTCGAGAAAAAACTGGTCGTTGACCAAAAAGCCTACAACGAAAGCAAGGCGGCTCTACTCGAAAAAGAGCGAAATGAGCTCGATGAAGCAAAGATCGGCTTGGAAGTGGAAAAGGCGACGATTGCTGCGGAGCGCAAGAAATCGGATGAAGTCTGCCAAGCTCTTGAAGAAAGGAACTTCCGCACCCCCTTTTCAGCGTCCAGAAAGGTTCTTCCGCAACGAGATACCCCGATCAGAAAGAAGCCACTCAAACCCTAAGATGCGCCTGTGAAGGAGATTCTGCGGCGGGCAAAGTGCACGTCACCGCAATACGGAAAACCGGCGAAGCCGGATGAGTCCGCCCAGCTTTCTGCCGGCATCGATGACGAGCACTCCGGGCTGGTGCCGACCGACGTGAAATACCACTCAGTTGAATCCTGGCTGCCATGCCTCACCAAAAAGACGAAGCATTCTTACTTCATGTGCCCCACAACGGCTTGTATGTTTTGTAGAGAATAGGAAGCTGTAGCCTGTGACTTTAAAGAAGCCTGCAGGATGGTCTCGTGGTGATCTTGGAAGTCCACACCAAGAATGTGAGGAAAGTAGTGGGGAGCATCATCCCAGAGGTACGTTGCGCATCCCTTTTTTATTGTTAGCTTCGAGGAAAAGGGGTTCCTTTCAATAATCATATCATCGCGGAAGTCTCCATCCTTGTCGCGGAGGAAAATGAATCGCCACGACGTGTTTCCCCGGATGGAGCGACGCAGATACAGCCTTACCTATTTGTGTCCCAGTTGGGGGACGGTAAGGTGTGTGGCCTTGCTGTTGGTGGTCAGCATTGCGAGTCCCGTGCGTGGCTGATGTGAGGATAAATAAGGAAAAAGAAACGGATCCCGATAGCAGGAACCCACTAAGAGGAGGAGAAGGAGAGGAGAAGTAGAAAAGATAGCAACGAGAAATTATCAGCTCCTTTCCATTTTTCCTGTCGCAGGCTTTGGGAAAAAGCAGTGGGCGGTGAAGGGAAGACGGGGAGGGGGAAGAAGAGGAAGGGACAAGCGAATTGCCGATTTGCAATCTGGCCGATCTGTGCGTGGCAAAACCGGAAACAAGAAGAATTGAAAAACAACACCGGCAGCAGGGAAAGGGGAGTCCACCTGTAATTCAACTTGCTGTCAACTCCCACCTGTCGCGGAACGCGCATTGCGCCCGCCAGGGTGCCATTGTTCACCTGCCCGGCATCAATGATAGTCAATCAGGCTTTTTCGGTCAGATCAAGAAACCAGTAATAATAAGAAACAATAAAAGTGGTGGGATTTCAACATCCCACACTGGAGAAGGGAAGAGAAAAAAAAGGTTTGACGTATAATACAAGTGTTGTATTTTCTGTCACAATGATAGAGGTGTAAATTTAAAAAGTTCAATGAAAATTTTCATTTCAACGAAGAGAGGGAGATATAAAACGCCTGCTCTGGGTTTCTTGTCACGACACGAATGCCAAACAAACAATGATGATAAAAGAAAGTGGAGCTTAAAAAAATGGCCTGTGTAAACGAGAGAAGACGAATGAGGATGGCCTCCACAGTATCCTAACGTAATTTGCAAGCACAACTGCACAATGGAGATGAAGAGCCACGAATAAAACAAGATGGCCTGCTTCACGAAGCTCCTCATTTGCCTTTGCTTTGCAAGAAGTCGCTTGAGCTCTTCCATCTGAGTTGCAGAGACCTTACTCTCACTCAATGGTTTAAGATGCTGCGCGGTCCGGGAAATACTGAAAGTTCGCGTAATGTATAACGATATACATAACGCTCTTTCACTTGCAATCTCCCCTTCCCTGGGCCACAAACGTTCGTCACTTCTCAAGTACTTACAGGCAGAAATCCCTTAAAAAAGTATGCTGACCAGAAGACAGAAAAGAAATCAAGAACAAATTCTCTATGCACGGTCAAATGCAAGAGAGAAAAAGAACAGAGCCACAGTAAACGTGATGAATACTAGTGAACGTCACACTCCCTCCTTTGGCGCAACATCGTGAGCTTGCTGCTGCGTGCGTTGGGCACAACACCGCGGGAAGCAGATGCCCTACGCAGCGAGAACTGCACTGAACAACATAGCCAAGAGGAGCCCTCCGCATGCAACTGAACTCGAAAGCCCAGTAGCCACATTCCTTCCCTTCGGTTGTTTCGTCGACGCATTGTCGTCACCGTGAGCGGAGGAGGAAGGCCCACTCGAGTTCCGCGGTGCCGCTGTTGTTGTCACGCTCATGTTCTGCGTTCCATCGGTAGGAGTTGTTCCCCTCGTGGCGGACTCCTTGTACTCCGTCGCTTTCACCAGCCCGGTGCAGACGTCGTCGTAGCGCGGACAGGTCAGGGAGCCCGACGAAAACGAGGGGCTGAGGTGCGGCAGCGACAGAGTCGCACCAGGGGTGCAGGCGGTGAAGCTCGAGGCACCGGCGACCTTCACGGAGTACGTCGGGCTGTTGCACTGCACCTCCGCACAGATGGCCAACAGTACGGGAGATGTTCTGCCACCGTAAGCGAAGCCGGAAGGCACGTCCAAGCACCGCGAGTTCACACCGTAGGTGCTGCCGAGGAGTATGCCGGTATCTGTGCTGCAGTTCGAGTTAGAGTACTCTTCGATGTAGGGGCAGTAGTCCATCAGAGGGTCCGCACCGCCGTACGTGGGGTTTGAGAAGTACTGAAAGTAGGGCGGCAAATCAGATTTGTACTGATACACACCGCAGGAACCCAGTGCCGTGTGATCGGACGTGCATGTCATGGCGTTATCCGAAGAAGCGCAGAACATCTCGGGAAACTGCGACACGCCGTCAATCACACACTTGGACGTGGAAAGCGTGCAGCCGGCGTTCCGCCCGTACGACATCGGCTCCGCGTTGGTGTAGTTGCCTTTGTAGAAGCCCATGTCCTCCATGGCGGCGATGGTCAGGGCAGTGTAGTGGCCCACGCCGCTGATGCCGGCCATGAGCTCGTCCTTGGCGCTGCGCCGCTTCCAGTGCGAGTAGACAGTGCCGTCACCACCTTCGTCCTCCAGCTCCATGTACCGCAGGGAGGGGCACCCGTACTGTTCACGGGCCTTGGCGACCACGTTGGAGGAGACGAGGACAGGAGATCGTCCCTTGCCTCGGAGACCTCGAGTGGTGTACATTCCACGTGATAGAAAGGAGTTGATGCTGAAGCCGAGGGCGTGCAGCAGCTCGTGCGTGATGACACGCACCGTCGTCGGGTCAGCGGAGATGTACTTGGGGGACACGTTCGACACACCGACGGAGGGGCGGCCGGTGTCGGCGAAGTTCTGACACGTCGTGGCCCAGGCAATGGAGGTGCCGCTGGTGGGGCCCGCCGACATGTACAGCACGAAGTCCGCGTCGCTGACACCGGTGGTGGTGTGCGAGGAGGGGACGGTGAACTGACCGCAGATGCCGTCGGTGGAGATGGAAGGACCAACGACGATGCTGCCGTCCACGCGCTGCACGTTGAGGCGCTCCTCGTGCAGCTTGATGGCGGAAGGGATCAGCAGCTCCTTCAGCACTTTCTTCTTGTGGTCCGTGAGGACGTCGTCACCGGTGCACGTGGATCTCCCGCCTTCAAAGTCGGGACGCACTTGACCCGCCCTTGTGCAGAACTTGTTTGTGTCCTCCAAGTCCTCGGTGAAGACGCGGATGCGGATGGGCTGCCAGGAGGCGGGGGTGTCCGCTGCGGCTGTGGCGACTGCGTCGACGTTGCGCAGCGACAGCGCGGGCGGCACCACGCGGCTGATGCCGCTGACACGCGTGCCGACCGTGCGCGCCTCCAACTCGTCGAAGCCGCACCGGTGCTCGTTGTGCGGTGCGGTGTCGGCGGGTGGAGGGACCGGTGCGGCGCGTGCGTGGAGGACAACGAGGAGGGCGAGTGCAACGGCGAGGAGCAGCACCTTCCGGTGTCCGCCGTCTGCCGCACGGTGTGGTGCCGGGATAGCGGCCATGGAAGCGGCGGGTGTGGTGCGGGGAGAGCAATAAGCGACGAAAATAATTAAGACGACCTGCGGAGGTGCAGGAGGCAAAGAAGGGGTTAGGGAAACAAAGAATTATGACGGGGCAGAGGCAATAGCGTGATCGGCAGAGATTGGCAAGTGCTTCAGCGTCTGTTGATGAATGAGCACGTGCAGGTGCGTGCTGCACAAGGGCGGAGACGAGGTGTAGGACGAGTCGGAAAGAGCAAGAGAGATGGATGAGCGTGGCGATCGCCGAGGGTCGAGCCGGATTCGCGCTGAAGACCAGCGATGAGGGACGGGTGCTTCATGGCCCCCGCAAGAGGGAAAACAGCGGCAAACGCACATCGACGGTGCTGGGCGAGTAGCGCAATGCGACATCACCGCACCGTGCATCCGCACAGGACGCCGTATTGTTGTGAGGTGCACAATGTGCCCGTTGCTCCGGCCGTTTCTGGAGAGAGCGCTTAGGCAAACGCCTGACACCCAGTGTGTGCGCTCCTTCCCTTCCATGTGCGGCCCGCTTCCAGTAGAAACACGCTGGCTGAGCTGAACCGGCGAGGCTGCACAATGGTTAAAACCCGGCGGACACCGCGGCTCGTGACGATTGAGGAGAACGAGAAAAAGAAGACACCACTTTTTGGGCTTCTACTAGGGGTCGAAAAAACGAAGTAAGTAGAAAAGAAAAGTATTTGCCGGCGTGATTCCGCGGTGAGAATGAGAAAAGAAGTAAACAAAAAGTTCACGCCGCGTTCCACCAACACAGGAACTGTGCGGACGTGTTTGGGGTTTACCAAAACAGAGGAAAACTAACTACGCAACAGTAATTGTCGATCACTGAGGGAGGGAAAGGGGAAGGTGAGAAATAGGATGAAAGTAAAGGTTAGGTAGAAGATGATTCAAATTGTACAACATAATCGTTATTCTATCCAAGGTGCAGGACGTAAGAAACTCTTAAACACTGATGCGTTTGCGGAGAATACACGTAGTCGGTTCTACTGTCTAACGCAAGATGAGAGAAGGGGAGAGGAGAGAGAGAGAGAGAGACAGTTCAGGTGATCATCAGTTTTGGCGGATCGTGTCGCCGGATTTGTATCTCAGTGTCCATTTGAAGGTTTTTGACTGATTCGCCCAGTCAAAATCGGTCAAGCGGCGGCCTCTCGACGGCGCGTCCGCGGGGTTGAGACCCGACCGGGTGTAGGTGTAGGTGGCGTGCACGTTCACCTCACGCTCGAAAAGCTCGATCGCCTGGAGCGCGGCGGCGATGGCTGTCGCCTTGGCGAGTCGTTTTCGGGGCGAATACCCTACCGAGGCATTATCCACATACACGTGGAGGCGGATGCTACGAAGGTGTGCCGCCAGCGCCCGGTAAGCGAGGTGCACGGCGTGCGCCTCGGCTTGCATGATGAGCTGGGGGGGGGG